ACTTATCTCATTTGAAGTTGCTTGGCATGGCCGAACTTCGTTTTTGGCAACAGATAATTAGTTAAACGTAATTATGAAACTTTTAAACAACAACAGTGTGCCAATAGCGCTGCTGCGTCTCTTACCTAGGCCAGAATCCAAGACGCAGAATACCTTTCTGAAAATATTCAACCTTCTCCGTTTTCACTCCGAGATTAATTTAATTTTCGGCATGCATTGTCATTGAAATCGAGTGGAGTTTTTGGTTTCATAATGTTATTCAGCCTGCGCTGAGGGCCGCCTCCTAATTTACCATGGATTCAGTGGGCCCAGCTGGAAAGGTTGGAAGCTAGGCGCCCCACGGCGCCTCCCATGCCCATCTTGACTTTGGACTTGATTACTGGGCGAACGTGGCAGCTTGTGTCAGCGTTATCACTTTTGGGTGCTCGGAAGTGGGATCGTATCAATAATTCATGTCGTATATTTTTGGAGTGTCGGAAAGGGTCAAGTGACTGGCAAGATGAAGCACTAATGCTATATTTATACGAATAACGGCAAGACATAATCGGACACCAAATAGTAATGTAGTAGTTAAAATGTATTTGGGTTTATGCCTGAACTGAAGCAAACAAGCAAGCACTTCTGGAGGAAGAGGATGGAAAAACAATGCAGACATAGGAAAATGAATAGAGCATATCATGTGAGCGTGTACAGGTGGATTTCACGATGGATTTGTTCGCACATAATCCACCACTAGTCGTATTCTGTTACATAATCTAGGGTATTGTATAAACGTTGAGACCGTCCAGTCCCTCCAACCACTCAAATCCCTCAAGTACATATGTTCATTCTTAACTTATTGTTAGATTCCGAATAGTAATGTCCAATATTTCTAGAGAGAGAGAGAGAGAGAGAGAGAGAGAGAGAGAGAGAGAGAGAGAGAGAGAGAGAGAGAGAGAGGAGAGAGAGAGAGAGAGAGAGAGAGAGAGAGAGAGAGAGAGAGAGAGGAGAGAGGAGAGAGAGAGAGAGAGAGAGAGAGAGAGAGAGAGAGAGGAGAGAGAAGAGAGAGAGAGAGAGAGAAAGAGATCATATGATATAGCGATACCCCTAGTCTCTCTCTCTCTCGCTCTCTCTCTCTCGCTCTCTCCTCGTCTCCTCTCTCTCTCTCTCTCTCTCTCTCTCCTTCTCAAAATCTGCTCAGGCTCTCTCCCCCCCCTCTCCCTCTCTCTCTCTCTCTCTCTCTCGACACGCTCTCTCCTCTCTCTCTCTCTCTATCTCTGCCCGTCTCCTCTCCTCCTCTCGATCTCTTCTCTCTCTGCTCCCTCTCTCTCTCTCTCTCGCCTCGCTCCCCTCTCCTCTCCTCGCTCTCTCTCTCCTCGCTCTTCCCGTCTCTCTCTCTCCTCTCACTCCGCCTCTCTCGCGCTCTCCTCTCTCTCTTCTCGCTCTGCTCTCTCCTCCCCTCGATCAGATCTCTCTCTAGCCACTCTCTCGATCCTCTCTCCTCGACGCTCTCTCTTCTCATATCCCTAGCTCTCTCCCCTCTCTCTCCTCTATATCTCTATCGCGCTCTCTCTCTCTACTAAGGCTCTCCTCTCACGCTCTCCTCTCCTCTCTCTCTGCTATACTCTCCTCTCTCTCTCTCTCAGCTTCTCCTTCTCTCTTCTATTCCTCTCCTTCTCTCGTCTCGCGATCTCTCCTCTCTCTCCTTCTCTCTCCCCTTCTCTATCGCTCTTCTGTCCTCGATCTCCTCCATCCGTTCTTCTCTATCTCTTATCTCTCTCTCTCGCTCTATCCTCTCTCCCTCTCTCTCTCTCCGTTCATCTCTCCTCTCACACAGCATTGCCTTATCATTATTCACTCATGAGCATTCGTCCCTCGTCCCTGCGGCATACATTGTATACAGTCACGGACGCACACATTCCACAAATCAGGCTACACCTCCAACTTGTTATTTGTTCAGCGTTCCTCGTCCGGTGCACCCCATTTTTTCTGATTCGTCACACTTTCCAAACACCGTTTTCGCTAGCATAATAACCGAGCCGAAATCTGATTCATGGCACGGCCAAGTTCAATATGGCGACCTCTGTCGTCGAGGCGAAGGACCCGATGACCCTGAGCCGGGGATGAATCAGAGACTGTTGCCTCAGGCCAGAGACGTCAGTGGTAATCTGGTTGGCCCGCGGCTCTGGGCCGGGGTGGGCGCGGTGGGAGTGGCGGAGTGAGCCGGGCGCCACCCACACATGGAGCTCTGATGGCAGTGCTAAACGTTCATGTCGGAACGAGAGCTGCTACGTTTTCCGTACGGGACCGCCACCCCGCAGCAATGATCACGTGGCGACATAAGCTTAAAGGAAATGTTTCACGTTTGTGTGGGTTTATGAACTGAAATAGCCACATTGAAGACCATTTGGTGCGATTCACAGCCATGCCGTTCTGAAGACCTAAACCCCTCTGATTGCCGAACTGTACGCCCGGGAAAATGTGCAAACTATTTCGGGAAAGCTAATTCAAAGTTGCCCAGGCATTCATGGCGCCATAATAACGCCATTCAAAACCTGCCTTTTGATTAGTCATGCGGCGATCAAAGCCAATAGAAAAATAGTTATCGAATCGCTCATGTCTGGCGCCCTTGAACGCGATTTCCAAATATAACGACCGGCAATTGGCTCTCAATCAATGTTGTTCAAGGTACGATAAGGTTATCAGGCAATTACGTACTGAGCAACATATTAGCTAAACAGAGAATTTGTGTTGTCTGCAGCAGTCTTTTTCACTTAAAAATATACCAATAGTTATGAGTGAGTTTGTTTCATTATAGCTGATGCTTTCTTTAATATCATAGAATTTGGAACATACTCTTTAACACAGAAACATCCAGCAAGCCTCACTTAGACGGTGGCCTTTTGGACACATCGCAATGCACGAATTTTAGTTCGCACCTTGCTTATTTTTGCACGTTTTCAAGCACTCCCATGGAACACCCCTGACGTTTGTCGGGAACAGTCCAGGACCTTCTTCTGACCACCCCTGAACGCTTCCGTGGTTTGCTTCAGACCCGAACGCCCCCGTCGATCTCTTCGGACACACTGACTCGAGCTTCTGCCTGTGACGACCCCGACCGCGCGCTCGGGCCGGTTGCCGTCTGCGTCGTCTCCAGCCGGCGTCGCGGCCGCCGGGAGACGAGCCCGATGGGGACCGGTCGTGTCAGACCCATTCCCAGCCGGCCGCCCGGAAGATCTGATAATGACAAGCTCGGCGCCGTAACAATGCGCGTCCGTCATCTGCGTCTGGCGAGCGGCAGCCGGGGAAGCCGGGCGGGGCCGGGCCGGGCTGGGCCGGGCCGGGCCGGGCCGGGCTGAGCCGAGTCACGCCTGAGGATCAGCTGTTGGCCGCCAATAAAGGGCGCCTACGGATGCGGCGCCGGTGACGGCGGGGGGATCGATCTGATTAGACTTGCAGATGGCGCCTCCTGTCGTCCCAGGTGGCGCAGCAAGAGGCGAAGGTCGGACGGACGGGTGCAGTCGCGGGGCAGACCAGGAGTCGGTCAGCGACAGCCGCTGGAGCGCACAGATCGACACCTATTTCAGAACACAAGCTGGACTTTGTGCGAGATGATCCCACCAAATGTGCAGCTTCCGGAAGACAACGAAGGGATAATGTGATTTCAAGGCACCCTACTTTTCGTGTGCGGCTTTTCGTATGCGGCGGCATTCACCACAATCTTCATGCTCATGTTCAGAAACATTGGTCGTGAGGGGCTGCTCAACAAAAGTGCTGAAAGCTTCAGCCATGGGTACCAACCACCAGCAATCTATACTGCTGAAACATTTCGGGCCCCGGTTGCTGATTCAACTGTCTGAAAGCTTTCTTCAGTGTGTTCCCACGCTGGCGGCGCTGGGCTGCTGGTTGCTTTGCCACCCATGCTGCACTCCCTACTCCGTGACAAACTATAGCTGACAAACGTGAATGAACGCTGGGCGGGACGTGCTTCCACGCCATTGGCTTTCGTAGATACCTCATGAGAACAGTGGTGGAAACCGAGCAAAATGCGCCTACTTACCCCGCGATGGCCTGCGCTGTTCTCACTATGGAACTGTCAGGTGCAACGAGCAACTCTGCTACGCCAGGACTGTGCACCGTGACGAGTAAACGTGTGAGGTGTGTAAGTGTTCCGGTTGAGGTTGTGTAAGTGTTAAGGTGACACCTCTGAGAGAAGCAGAGATTTCTGGATGGCGAATTCATGATTGCGTCTTGCCAGATTGTGCCTTGCCTGAAGTGTCTCGTTGAGGTTGTAAATACACGTCTCCGCTGGCATTTCACTGAGGTTTTTTGCACATCCTCATCGGATCACATCGATATAGGGATTAATGTATACAGTTTTACGGAAAGATGAAGGCGAGGCATTAGCGATTGATGTATACATTTGTTACGGAAGGATGGCGGCGAGGCAATAGCGATTGATGCATACATTATTTTACGGAAAGATTCAGGCGAGGTATAAGTATCGCGAAGATAACTGTTCGCACCATCGTCCTAGTCTGGTTAGTATGAAAACAAGGTTTCGGCCAGTTAATTCTCCAGCCATCGTCAGGTGTTATAGAGTTCTCAGAACGACGATACGTTGTTGGAACATTCAGGCAGGTATGCATTACAGCCCAAATTCTTCCTTGGAATCGCTGGGATTCGAACGGAATTGGAATTTGGAATCGCATGCTTACACGCCAGGCGAGGACGATAGTCCAAACAATCACTGCATTCGTAAAGTGTGCATATTTTCGGTGCAGGTATCTTGCAAGCAGCCATTTCACGAAAGAACTACACAGATTGTCTGGCTCGACAGGTTTAGTCAAATAGATCCAAACTTGTTACCAAAACAAGTAGGGCAAGGCATTGCCAGACTGCGGTGCTTCCCTTATGTTTCCGTATTGCATTGCGTATTGAACTGCGGTGCTTCCCTTATGTTTCCATATTGCATTGCGTATTGAACTGCAGTGCTTCCCTTATGTTTCCGTTTGTTTCAGTGTTGTGCCAGCAGCAGCGGTTCCGGGTGCGACCGTCCAACGTCAGCGTAGTGGAGGGAGACAGCGCCATCTTGCGCTGCGAGGTGCACCATCAGGTCGGCCAGCTGCAGTGGGCCAAGGACGGGTTCGCCCTCGGTGAGGACCTCACAGCAATCGCGCGCGGTCGGCCGGTGCCGCCCCGCGCCGTCGGCCCTGACCTCTGACCTCGTGGATGACCAGCACGTGGCCCGGCGACTGACACGGAGGCTTAGCAGACACGGCGCCGTCTCGGGCGGGTAGACAGGCCCTGATCCGGGGCTCACACGGTTGGTCCGATCGGGCACGCCACGATCTCCCCGGCTCACATCCGGCCTTCTGTGAAACCCGTCCGGGCGGCGCCGGGTCCATACTGACTGCAGATGTCGCACCGGCTATGGCCATTGCGCTGCGCTAAAACGTGTTGTAACAACATTGTGTTTCCGCGCACCGTTTTTGCCTTGTCTTTTTCGAGTTGATCACTTTAGATTAGATGACATTCAGATGACACCAGAGATTACGCTGCTGAAACGCAAGCCGTATTTGTTGTCTTAATTTTGATGATAGTACACTGCGATTGCATTCGCGCTTACTAAGGCCGTCGTGGCAGAGGCGATTGAGCTTCCAAGGAATGGTAGCCCCAAATTTCTCCCCCCCCCCCCCCCTGTTCCTATGCACTGCCTGCGGCGAGTCTATAAGGAGCCTGTTTCGCACATCGCTCCTTTGACGTCATTTAACCAACACACAGCCATTGTGGTGGTGATGTGCACCACGTGGCGCGTTGCGGGGCAGCTGAGCTGTGCGCCACTGCGCAGCCGGCACCATGGCAGACAGCCGCACGAACATGGCGAATGGCCGTTATCGCCCGGTTCCTTGTGTCGCGGCTCCGTAGGGGAGGCGCCTCCGTGCCCGCATTGAGAACCGGGGGAAGGGAGCGGGGAATGGGGTGGTGCCGCAGCATAAATGCATTCCAACACGCGATTACGAGCGCAGCTTTGAGGGCGCACCAAGAAGCGTGCTCGCTGGGGTGCCGTTGTCAGCGCACAGCGATCTCGGCTCAATAACACGGATCTACCGTGGCGCGCTTTGCGGGGGTAAATTACGAGTTTGTCCACGCTGCGGATTGTGTTCACCCGTTATGGATTAGCGTAATGGTTGCCGCCCTGAGCTTGGGCGGCAGCTCCCGACTGCTACCGGAGGCCGCACGGTCGTAATTACCGCCGATGATGCATGCCCCTGGTTGAATAAGGTTTAAAAACAGGCTTTTCCCCTGCCAGAACAGCTGTGTAACCCAATACGAACGAAAGTAATATACTACCGTGATGCATGTTGTACGGGCGTGGAGTCATATTGCAGTCCGTTCGTAATGCACTCATCGGCCGCTAAGCTAGCGAAGTAGCGACCATTTCCTGTTCAATTATTTTATTTCTGTAGAATATTTGCCCTTGAAGCCAAGAGTGCATTGAAAATAAATATGAATGCCAAAATTAGCGTCAACACTCGATGGCATCTAGAGGGTGCAAGCTCATGAAGCATGCTGTGATGATTGTCCGTCGGTCATGATTGCAGCGCCAGGTCCCATACATATTGTGTACTTTCAGGATACTCCCGCCTGCTGCCTGGATACTCGCGATACCGGATGGTGGGCGACCCGGGGTCAGGAGTGCATGACCTTGAGGTCACTGACGTGCGCCTGGACGACGACGGCCGGTTCCAGTGTCAAGTCTCTCCAAACAAGGGGCAGGCGGCCATCAGGGCTGATGCTCTCCTCACCGTACTCGGTAAGAGCCGGCAGATCATACTTGGTAAGCGCCGGCGGACGGTACTCGGTAAGCGCCGGCGGACGGTACTCGGTAAGCGCCGGCGGACGGTACTCGGTAAGCGCCGGCGGACGGTACTCGGTAAGCGCCAGCAGACGGTATTCGGTAAGCGCCGGCGGACGGTACTCGGTAAGCGCCAGCAGACGGTACTCGGTAGGCGCCGGCGGACGGTACTCGGTAAGCGCCAGCGGACGGTACTCGGTAAGGGCGGCGAGTGCCGCTGCAGTGCGACCCCCTGCCGACCAGGCCGCTGGCTTACCCTGCTCTTTGCACGGCTGGTCCGCTACTACCGGTGGCTACAGGGCGTGTTAGGCGCACAGCAGTGGTCGGACTAAGGTAATGGAGGGATTGCAGGCTAACGGGCACTTTGTATGCAATATTTCGGTGTCGCGGCACCAGCAGATAATTAAAGGGACTGTTCCACATTTGTATGGCGTTGCAAGCTGATACAGCCATATTGAAGATAATTTCCTTAATTCAAAGTTGTAACCTTTTTGGGGCTTCAAATCCGCTCGTTTCTGAGCTAGACGCACGCGAACTTCTGCAGGCTTTCAAGTGCCGTCTTTTCTGAAGTCATTCAGATGTGTATGAGTCACAGAGACGTCAGATGAATTTCGCCTTCTCAATGGTCATACCGCGTTCAACGTCAATACAGATACGGCTATCGGCTTATTCGTTTCTGGGAGACGTCAGCTCGAATCGTCGCATTAACGGACAGCAAAAGCTTTCAGTCAGCTTAACGCCTTGAATGCTAGTCTCGACCACGGACCGTGTTTTGCGATACATCATGCATGCAGTTGGGCAGTCCTTATTATGACTGAGATGAGACTGGTAACCGAATGACTTAAGAATGCAAGTCATAATCGCGGATAGATGTGTAAGACGCGACAATGAAGGGGTAAGACAAGCGCACCCAACGTCCGTCGGATTTATCACGCACGGCCGTTGCTGAAGGCGTTGTAACACTGAGCTGTGCGCATTGGATCGTCTTGGGGTGCGGTGAATGCATTGAGTCCCGGTACACGTGCCGGAGTAACAGCTAGATCTTCTCGCCACTATAGCTTCGGACCCATTCCTGTCTATTGGTGCCGGTACGATGTCGGACCCATCCCCTCGGCTGGTGCCGGTGCGGTGTCGGACCCATCCCTGTCGATTGGTGCCGGTACGGTGTCGGACCCATCCCTCTCGGCTGGGACTGGCGCCGGTACAGTGTCTGACTCATTCCTGTCGACTGGTGCCGGTACAGTGTCGGACCCATCCCTGTCGGCTGGTGCCGGTACGGTGTCGAAGTCATCCCCTCGGCTGATGCCGGCACGGTGTCGGACCCATCCCTCTCGGCTGGTGCCGGTACGGTGTCGGATCTATCTCTGTCGGCTGCCGCCGGTACGGTGCTGGACCCATCCCTCTCGGCTGGTGTCGGTACGGTGTCGGATCCATCCCTCCGGCTGGTGCCGGTACGGCGTTGGATCCATCTCTATCGGCTGGTGCCGGTACGGTGTCGGTGCCAGGCTTGAGCAAGTATCACGCTCCCAGTGCAGCGCCCGCCGTTGGTCCAATGCCGGCGTCTGACGTTCATGTGCCGGCGCGTACCGGACGGCCACCAGTGTGCCGGGCGCAGCAGCGCGCGCCCGGCACGCTGAGGCTCTCGCGACTACGGACTCGTCGCACGCCGCGAGAGGCTGGCTACCGCCCGGAGAGATAATTTAATATCCCTTCAGCGCTTGGCACACGTGGATCTCGTAAAATCGCGCAAGTTTCACACCAGTAATGATCCCGCTGGCCGCCTTACCTGGAACACCGCGTGCATTTTGTCATTAATATATCACGAGACTAATCGTTCTCACGTCTTTTGGATATGTGGAGTGATGTACGACCGTTCTATTTGACATTTATTGTACTAAGGTGCTGTGAAAAATTATCCTAGCCATTATTGCCACTCATTAGCTGTAAGGAAACCATAACGCCTGAGAAACGAAACAAAATGAGGCCAGCTTCGAGTTAAAATCTTGAATCCGTGCCACCCAATTGGCTTTGCCAGCCCAAAAAACGAACTGAGCGTCCCACCCTCTCTCTCCGTTCCGTTCCGCTCCGTGCCGTTTCTCCTTTCCCGTTTGTCGACCGTTCCCGGTCCGGCCAGGATTTCCTGTCAGGCGCCGGCGGATTAAGCGGAGGCCGCGCGGCTTGGCTGCCCGGTCCATCCATCTTGCCGCTGTGCGGTCTGCCTCGACCGCCGGCCGGCCTGGCCGGAGTGGTCCACCGACCGCCGGCCGGCCTGGCCGGAGCGGTCCACCGACCACCGGCCACGAATCAATCTGCCGCCTGCATGATGAATTGTGCCGGAGCGAAAAGTCCGCCGCCGCCAGGGACCGGGAGCCGCGGTTGTGCGCTGCCTGGAGTCGGTCCGTTACACTTACTCGCAGGCTGCTGCTGCGCCGGTGTTTCTTGTTGTGATCAGCTTGCCGTTGAGAAGTGCTGCGAACAGTTTGCAATATGTACGTGTTGCCCACTATTTTGCAAATATTTCAAACTTGCAGACATGCGACCCCTGCATCGCATTCTGCAGTGTCAGACTATGAAGAAGACATCCATGTACGTGGCATAGTTTTCTCTGTTTGCCCGTCGGCATATTTTAGATGCGTGATCTTTGTGCATGCCTAGCAAATAGAGCTGAATGAACGATCCCATTTTCAGTGAAGCCGAAGTCTGTCAGAACCAGCTCGACTGCACGTTCTTCCAAGCCGGGGCTATATGAGGTCAGGGAGGGCAGTCAGCTGATGTTGAAATGTGACGTCATCGGCGCCAGGCCGGCAGCTAGCGTCCAATGGCAGCGGAACGGCGTTGACATTCACCCACGTAAGAGCGCGGCTGTGCGTTGATGTGATTACGCAAGACGCTCCGCGTTGAAAATGCTTCTGATAAACGCGATTGTATTGCTTATGCTAAGAATGGAATGAGACTGGTCAGGTTGGTTATATTTTTCAATGTCACTGGGATACCGGTTGAACATTGGTTTCATTTGGGCTGTCCAAAACATAATCGTTGAAATAGATAAGTTGCTGTGTTGATTGTGGCGCTTGCACTGTATCACAGGCCACGAACCACTTACCATACAACACCGCTTCTGTGTCATACCTTTGGTCCAGGATTCTCTCCACCTTGTGTTAGACTGTTCGAACGTTCGAGACTATCTTTCTTGTGCTGTTTTGGACATGTTGGCTTGTTTTCAGACGTAATGCTCTTTACTGTGATGCATGTGATCGTTGTTGTGGAAACAAATAGTTCTGTGTCTGAACTACAACGCAATGGGGCACGCCCGTCATGGCTATAAAGTCAGCAGCCCAGTCCCTCTCTTCTGTGATGCACCCCCGTTATAACTGCGGATATCATTCTTACCAGAACAAGAGGACTCGTTCTCCGGCTGGGGCAGCCCCCGCCGTAACGACACGACCTCGGTGGTGACACTGCGGCCCACTGCTGCCGATGATGGTGCCGGCTACTCGTGCGTGGCCAAACACCCAGCCATCCGACCGGCCGAGCAGCGTCAGCTCAACTCCACCGTGCGACTTTCCGTCCTCTGTGAGTGTACAGCTGCTGGTAATGCTGCTTAAAAGAATGCTTGAATGGCGCGGCAGTGTGATACTATTAACACCATATCATGCAGCAGTTCGCGGTTCTCGAAACGTTGAAAAGCAACTACAACGTACCGGTTTTTAGTAGCCTGAAGACATTTTGCCAGAAACTGAGACGGACATGATACAAGCTTGCGCAGTATTTGGAGCGCTTTGTATTGTCTTGTTATTTTAAACTTGATCGATAGGAACTGAAATCCTGCGCCAGAAACTGCACACCGATAACTTAGTTCGAAATAACCGCAAATTCGATAATTATAATTCTGCAACGCTACAGTGCTTTCGCCGCTCAGTAATCCGCCTGTAATGGATTGGTGTTGCTAATGCTCTGGTACGTGTCTTTTAAAAGGACTCACGGTGTCCCATCCTTCGCAGACCCTCCGGGAGTCCCTGAGATCAGCGGCTACACGGAGGGCGAGGTGGTCAGAATCGGCGAACAGAAGACACTGACCTGCATCTCCCGGGGCGGCAACCCACCGGCCGAGCTGGTCTGGCTCAAGAACGACCGACTTATCACCTTCAAATATCGGAAAATGAACCGCCGCGCCCTTGCACAGTTCACATTCAGCGTAACCGTGGAAGATCTGAATGCCATCTATCGGTGCGAGGCATCATCTCTGGTTCACCCTGAACCCATGGTGGCGCTAGCCCAAATGAACGTGCAGTGTAAGTGACGATTTCTTATAAAGCAATCATTGGCGCACCGATTATGGGTATAAGGTCTGGTATGCTTGACTTTTTGTGATCATACAAGTACGGGGGGGGGGGCAATCACTGCAAGAGAAAGTTGTCACGGTTATGGAATGCTAATCAACATCTCCTGCAAAGGCATATACAGCATGTACAACGGACAATCCTGTGGAAAGTAGCCTGAAATCATGTCCCGGCCAGAAGTGTCACCTTTTATTGATCGAAGCTGTGTGACATTTGCAGTCGGTCCGGAGAAGGTCACAGTGTCAGGCACGCGTGAGGTCAAAAGCGGCGACACAGTACACATGACCTGTGTCACATCCAGCAGCAATCCGCCGTCCAACATCACGTGGGTCATCAACGGAAGGACTATGATGAATGTGAGTTTGTTTAAGCGCAACCGCCTTTCAATGCGTGCTACTTTTACATGTTTTATGAGCCAAAGCCTATGTCTTTATCCTCCACCCTGGACCATGAGGATATCCTGGGAGGTACCCGTTTGTAACCATTCAGCATCTACCATCTGGCCCATGGCCCACGTCGGCTAAATTTCAATGTCTGGTGAGATCTGCTGTATGGTAAATTCTGCTGTCTGGTGAAATACGCCGTCGAGCGAAATCTGTTGTGTGTTACGGACTGACGACGTCCGGCACAACTCGATACCACCGGCTCGAGATGTCGTTGGTGAGGTAGCGCGGACTCCAGCGCCACCTGTCGCCTGTTGCAGACCACGCAGAGCATCGAGCACTTCCCCGAGCTGGGCTGGGTGTCCAGCTCAAAGGTGACGGCCGCGGTGCCGGCCGGCTTGGCCGAGGACATGGTGGTCTCCTGCTACGCTGTCAACCCGGCGCTCTCACTCACCAAGGCGGCTTCCGCCACGGTGACGGTGCTGTGTGAGTCTGACCTGACTTTCTGGTGGGGATCGTTCGCGGGTTCGGAAACATCTGTAGGTGGCCGAGAGACTCTGGGTGAGATACGCACAAGTATGGCGCGTTCTCCGTCATAATGCGCTAGACAATGACATGCTGGTCGCTTTGTCATGTGTGTACGTTCTTAGTTCCTAGAAAAGACATCGAAGTTCGTTTGGAATGCCCTCAGTCTCTCGCAACATTGGAGATGAAGGAAATGCGGTGCGTGCAAGTCAGACAGTGGCTCGGTGCAGATTGTGTGACCTCAGGGTTAGATGGCTGTGTGCTCAAATGCGTTCAAATGTATTAAGCGTTGTGTCGTGCTTATGTCACATAGCACGATACGCACGTAGCTCTTTCAAGATGAGATAAACTCATGATCTCTACAGAAACTGACATAAATCTAACAAACATGCATTTTATCTATCCGACCTAGGTGTTGTTGACAAAACCAACCGAGCGATATTTCGCCTATACGTTACTTCGTTTTGCTAGTGCTGCTTACTTCATACTGGTTTCCTAAGCATTGCGATTATCTTATTCCAGATCCTCCGAAGCCGCCGAGCATCTTGGGCTACGAGCCAGGCACGTACCTGCAGGCTGGGGAGCGGGTGTCGCTCTCGTGCGTCTCCCAGGGCGGCAACCCGCCGGCCACCCTGACCTGGTACAGCGGCGACGTCGAGATGGCCTCCGACACCGAGGTCGAGGACAACGTGGCCCGGAGCGTCATCACGTTCGAGGTGGACCACAAGGACAACGGCAGGGTGTACAAGTGCGACAGCCAAAACTCGGCAGGCAGCGGCGTACAAACGGCTACAGTCTCCCTCAGCGTCTATTGTGAGCACTGAACAGTTGGTTCGAATGGACACCCAGATGCCAGGTGCATCGTTTTCATGCTTTGTTCCTGCTGGCTTGTTAGACATATCGTATCACCAAAGATCATAAGCACTGTTCTACATCTGCGGATATTGTCGTTGTCGGACTATGTTGGAATCATTTCTATACTGCATCAAATTTCATAATCAAATTACCTTTGTCTTCTTTACCGTTTTACACAATCAGTATATTGTACCATCTATGTACGCGATGCGACCATATTATTTACACATTGGTTCCTACCTTGTTCGTATGCCTAGTTCTTCACGTGTCGTGCACATGTCCCTATTTCCCTTCGCCACCAGTTCCGCCGAGCAGCCTGAAGCTGGAGGTTCGTCCGGAGCGTTTGCGGGCGGGCAGTCAGGCGATCCTGACCTGTGAGTCCCGGCCCTCCTACCCGGCCGCTGATCTCACCTGGTGGCGGGACAACGCCCAGGTCACCGATGGAGTCACGGCGCTAGAAACGTTCCCGGCTGGAAGTCAGGGAGGGTATGTTCATTGGAATGTGCCAGCACGTTTATATTGATGCCATGTACGCATTGACTTCTATTGTTCTATGGGGACGAAACAAACGTTACAATCGTGGGCTTTAGGACTTCCTCCGGTGTAACCTTGCTTGGGATTTTGAGATTCGTTAATTACTTCTCCCATAAATTTTGATGACATTCGAGTATGCACCTACCTGTTTCTAATTTTTTCATTCCTTTGAGTTTTATTTCTAGATGCCGTCATGAGCGGCACCTTCCTCTTCAACGAATGCCGGCGCGGATGGTGGACATTCCAGCCGACCGTGCACGCCTTACCGTGCCGCCCGTCCGTCAGCCCGGCTGTGCTCGCGCTGGCAGGTACTCGAGCCGACTTCAGCTGCGCCTGAACCTCACCTGGACACACGATGGGGCCGTGTACGTGTGCCGGTCGCAGATGTCCGAGCTGCCAGGCGGACTGAAGCTGGACACCATGCTGAACGTCACATGTGAGTGGAGCGAGCTGACCTGCGCGTCAAATAGTTTGCAGTTCTGCGCTCCACGTCTGCCAGCACGCTGTCGGCTATGGTTGAGGCTATGCTTGAGGGTGTTGAAATGATTGCTTGATCTATTTTTACTCCGCTCTCTTGTGGGAGTCATCAAGAACGATATGAAGACGCTGTAATTATTGGCATGTCAGCTTCAAGGTATGGACGTTGCAATCAAAACATGAACGTTTGTTTTCAGATCCACCGGTATTTGCCCAGACCCAGCTTGTGGAGGATATTAGGCTCGGCGGGTCGCGCCTCCTAAACCTGACAGCCAGCGCCAATCCCGGCAACATCACGTACCACTGGTATCGGGAGTCATCAATAGATGACGCAAGGATCGTCTTTGAGGGGCCTTTTCTCAATATATCAGGAGCGTCGAAGGAAGACGCTGGCTGGTATCAGCTGACTGCACTGAGCCCAGAGGGCAACTCCAGCATTCGAGTCGGCCTGAACGTCCAGTGTAAGTACAAAACTGATGCGTGGGATTGAACAGCCGACTGTGAGTATCTCGATACTCGACTAACGCGCTACTCTGCGTGAGTAGCACGTTCGGGCGCAGTATCCCAAAGAGGCACGCTGTCTAGAATGGCAACGTTGATTAATCCGCCCTGTTGTATTCCTTCATCGCTTCGTTCTCAATCCTCTCCACCCCGGGACAAGCTGTGCCCATCAGCTGTCAGTGGGATTCAGCGTCGCTCTGGCGGGCAGGAGCCCCGGCCTAGAGCCCACGCATACCTCGAAGGAAGGCTCCTATGCTCGGTAAGGTGCGTCATCGGAGCCCCCCCCGATGGCCGGAGTGATGCCCCACTGATTACCTCGCTCCTTAATCCCACAGCATTCAAATAGTCGTTACTGGCTAAAAGGACCCTAAACCAAACCAGATTATCCAAGCATATTGTGTGGTGTCGATAAACGCTCGTCAACTCGCAACGACCTGTCCTGTACAGCATGATCAGAAGCAAGGTCACGATGCTCTACCGTATTCAATATTTTCTGAAAGTGGATGATTTGCAGTCAGTGATCTTCGGGGGCCGCAACTTTATTAATCAAAATGCATACTTTATACATTTTTTATCGGCGTTGCTACGTTTTGTTACGTTACGTCACCTTATGTTTGGGTCACTTTATCCTATGCTCCTTTCTTTACCTATAGGTGCAATGCATTTTTCGTACATTTTACGCGCTTGCAAAAACAAGATTTGCTTAATTCTGTGTCTCGCTTTTGTGGTGTTAATACATTTTGGAGTGACTCCTTTTTAGATGCATATGGACAGCAGACCAGTGTTTCTTAAGAAATGGTACTTCTTATGGTTTTTGGTTTGTCAGAATGCTTGTCTAAATAGGCGCTAAGTGTAGCATGCTATTGAACGCCGGCTAAGAGTAAAATTCTGCATTGCAGATCCACCAGAAATAGTGTCCATCTCCAACGTGTCCATCGTGTCCTCGGGAGAGGAAGGAACCGTGGTCTGCAGAGTCGACGCCAACCCCTTCACTGACGCCATGATCACCTGGCACCGCGACCTCTTCAACTTCAACTCCAGCAGGGTCACCATTTTCTCCAGGAACGGCACCTCCTATCTCACCATACGCAATGTCACCAGGGAGGATATTGGAGAATTTCATTGTCGCATTAACAATGGAATCGGAGAAGCTGCAGCCGCAGCCAGACTAGTGGTCAAACGTAAGTGAGACGAGGTTGTGAGTGGTTCGCATTGATGCGTGTTTTTCTGTGATGATAACTATGGCTAAGGAACGCATTTCCATATCTTTCTGGCTTGTTTTGGTTTGGTATCATTCGGTTATATTTTGCTTTCGTTTTTGTTTTGCTATGTCTGGCCTTGATTTTCTTTTGAACTAAGCTAATTGGTCAATGCGCGATATTGTCGGTAAGCTTGATGCTGATTTAATAAGCGACAGGTTTTGAAGTGAACGGCGCAACGCGTGTGCAAACACAACAGTAGTTACATGCGTGAAACAGTATTAACCATCTCTGCAATGTGAAATTGTGTTGCATGTGTCTAATCTACGCGCGTTAACTTCAGACGAGCCCGAATTTATTAGAAAAAGACAGTTTACAAAGACAGCTGCCGAGATCGGAGGAAATGCTCACATCACGTGCCAAGCACGAGGGGCCCCGAATGTCACGTTCCGCTGGTCTAAACTGGGCGTGGATATTGGTGATCAAGAAGACAACAAATACCAGCTGGAGTACACTCAGGTGAGGTGTATTGTTGGGTTTGATTGAGGTATGGTTGCCATCTTGAAAAGGGGTAAATTTATGCAATGTGTATCTGATTAGGATGGAAGTTATTCTTAGCAACAGATGTCATGCAAGGCGTCACGGCGTGGGTAAGCACCAAGACATTCTAGTTCAGATTGCAACATGTGCCCACAGCTTGACCTCGTGACCTGGCAATCGGTGCTCAAGATCAAGGACGTGCAGGCCTCGGACTACGCCACCTACGAGTGCGTGGCTCATAATGAGCTCAGCTCCAGACGCCAGGAGCTGGTGCTAGGCCGTCCCAGCTCCCCTGACCCGCCGATGGGACTGAAGGCGGTCAACGTGTCCCATGACGCGGTCACTCTCTCCTGGTACCCCGGCTTTGACGGAGGCTTGCCGCAGGTCAGAATGAAAACGAAACACCCATTTAGACCTACGAAGGCACGTTGGCCTAGAAAGAATTTGGTCAAATCGTAACTTTTCGATGCTTTTTGCTAGATGCAGGTTCGTAGTTTTATGTCTTCATAGATTGATGCATTGATGGTGGTTGCTGGCTGTCAGCGATATGTTTGACATTGTAAATTTTGGGCTTCGTATGAATTGACCGCATGCATGTCCTGAACGGAAATGTATTCGAGTAATGACGATAGTTAATTTTCAGTATGGCAGGAGCCATTGGTTAGATCACGTTACGTTATCAATCAGTCTGTTATGTTGGAAAAACTTTGTCATCACAACCAACTGCTTGATTACGTCGTTTGAGCAGCACTTCCTGTTATAATAAATGCTGGCTAGTGTTAACGTGAGAGCTACTAGCTCATAATGTCGAAAAAACAGGACCTCAAGGCTGTCCCTGCTGATAACGAGCATGAAGCTTAGACGTTCCCCACTGACTGCGTTCGTACAGTACGACATGAGCGGCACCCTCGTCATCTGACTCACGAGCTGTGCTGTCCAGACCTTCAGGATACGCTACTCAGCGGTGTCTGACAAAACCAAGTTCAGCTACGCCCAAGTCCAGCCGTCCAACGCTACCCACTTCAGGGTCGAGGGACTGGCCTCCGATACTGCGTACATCTTTGCAGTCAAGGGATATAACAGACGCGGGGAGAGCACGTACTCGCTGGCCGCCGAACGCAGGACACTAGGTAAGCTGTGGGACCCAAGGGTGACAGTGCACGTACTCGCTGGCCGCCGAACGCAGGACACTAGGTAAGCTGTGGGACCCAAGGGTGACAGTGCACGTACTCGCTGGCCGCCGAACGCAGGACACTAGGTGAGCTGTGAGACCCAAGGGTGACATTGCACGTACTCGCTGGCCGCCGAACGCAGGACACTAGGTGAGCTGTGGGACCCAAGGGTGACAGTGCACGTACTCGCTGGCCGCCGAACGTAGGACACTAGGTGAGCTGTGAGACCCAAGGGTGACATTGCACGTACTCGCTGGCCGCCGAACGCAGGACACTAGGTAAGCTGTGGGTCCCAAGGGTGACAGTGCTTTAACAGCACAGCCAGAACGGATTAAATCCACGCGTGAACACAGCCAGAACGGATTAAACCCACGCGTGAACACAGCCAGAACGGATTAAACCCACGCGTGAACACAGCCAGAACGGATTAAACCCACGCGTGAACACAGCCAGAACGGATTAAACCACGCGTGAACGGAGTGAAACGGCGTGCTCTCATGATGCGGTGTGATGATGGAACTGGTAGCGGCCCAAAACGCGTAGCATTGCATGAAATGACGTAGCAGCAGTTCTAGCATCTACTAACGTCCTAATTCAACCGCTTCAGTAGCCCCAGTGCGCTTGTCTGACACGCATGCCCGGTGACCCACTCAGGTTCCCCTCCAGTCGGCTACGTCACTGACCGGGACGACCTCACTAAGGCGACCTTCCCCCGGCTCACCATCATCATTGTCACGATGGTCGGAGCCTTCCTGCTGCTCCTCAACATCGTCTTCATCAGCTGCTACCGCCGGTGCCGCCACAAAAAGCAGAAAGCCGGTGAGTAGTTTTGTCGTGACCTCGTTATGTTGCCGCAGGGGACGTTGACACCGCTGAGAGGCTAACTTCTGCGGAGGAGCAGATGCCGTGGATCATCATCATCGTCGTCTCATCTTTAGGAGGGCTTCTGTTGCTTTTAAATGTCGTCCTAGTTGTCATCTTTGTGCAACGACGAAAGCGACTGGCGAAGATGAAACTGATGCCCATCGCTTGTGAGTGTTTGGCATGCTGTCATCGGTCGCTCTGCTAACATTGCCTTTGGTTTGCGTAGATCGATTTTCTTTAGGAATATTATAAATTTGTCGATGCCTGTACTGGGAAACCACGCGCGTAGCGGTCTGGTGTCGAGCCGTGGGGTGGGATGTTACGCGGCTATTGGCCGGCATCGTAACCAGCTTCGATCTATGAGAGAAATCGCAGCGCAAAATAATTTGAGACGACGTGTCCGTCCGTAAACCCCGGCATTATACCCCCCTCCGATGATTGACGCTGGAAAATTATCTAGAAGATGACCTCCCGTGTCGACCCTTTCTAGAAAGAGTTATGCGGTTTAGGAAAGTTGAGAAACCGTAACGCCTTCCACTCTATTAATTAAACGCATGTGTATTTCAGCCTCCAACGAAACGAGCACCAAGTCGGAGACACTTCACATGTACGGCACTGCGAGCTCAATGTCGGTGAAGAGCTGTAGGAGCTACACCCGAGAGGACAGCCTTGACAGTCTGAACGACTGTGCAGTACGTGCCAAGGGATTTGTTTGCATTTGATTATTTTGATTATGGTTGATTATCACGCGCCCGGGTGCCCTTTTTGAATACCCTTCGCTCGGATGCGGGTCAATTTGACCTCCCGATACAAAAAACTCGAAGAATTAGGCACGCCAAGCTTGCAAGGTGGATTGATCTGCAGGTTAATCCACTTATGATCAAATTTGAGATCCATAGGTCAGGACCTTGGTGTAAGTAAGCCCAAACAAGGTCCAACTCAAGAGCGCTGCCTTAAGTCCCCCAGACCTCCTCATTTTACCGTCTTGAACCTAGATTCCTGTTCTAAGCAAAGGGTTATTGATCTGATGTTTTTGTTGGGTACGTGACGTGGTTTGACCTTAATAAGGTTTTGCTGACAAAAACCTACAAGGGTTTTTCTATTTTTGAATTAAAATCAGCGTTCAGGATTGCGAGAGGCGGCATTCCCATAAAGTGATGGGTTACTCTGGGTTGTTGTAGGTCAGTGACCTACTCTGACGTTTGATAAGTTCGTGAAAGACTCCGTTGCAGTCCCTGTTATTGAGAAATTCAAAAGAAGCATCGGAAACTATTCCATAAACCAAGTTCTCCAGTAAAATAGTAGACTGGGTTCAGCTTCAGTCTGATCTTCGTACCTGACCGAAGGCTAATAAAATTTGTAATCCTAAGTGGAATTGTTTTCTTTGACAACCACCGCCTGGATTTGACCTGCCTTAGGTCAGCGACCTTCCGAGGTACATCTTATGTTTCTGCCAAAAGATTTGCTATTCCATTCCTTACAGAACCCAAAATTTTGGCGGCTACGCCACGCCGTTCACAAGTTATCTGGCCAAAACCTTCGGTGTTCGGATTGATTCCACACCCTAGCTTGCGTTAAGTGTGGTCAGCCGGCATATTTTATTGTGAGTAATTTATAAGCCATGGCTAGTAAGTTCATTGCGTGACGTCTAATTTCATTCGCAATCCTGTCTCACACGCGCGCTTACGTTTTTCCTGGTGACTCTTGTACTCTTCAGCCACTCAGGCTAACTCAGCTCCGGTCATCAGGTCAGCGGCGGCCGTCACAGCTTCGACCCGTACCTGGGCGCGGCGCTCATCGAACCTCCAGCCGAGTACTGCTCGCGTGCAGCCGCACCGCCCAGGCCGTCAATGGACCTGGGAATCTACGTCTCGCCGACTCTTCAGCCTGCACCGGCTGGCGACGAGTACGCGGCGCCGAAGCAACGGCACCTGGCGAACGACCAGAGCCTGTCACCGACCCGGACCGCCCCGGCCCGGGACGAGTACGTGTCACCGACCTCGCGGAACGCCCCGGCTCGGGACGAGTACGTGTCACCGTCCTCCTGGACCACCCCGGTCCAGGATGAGTACGTGCCACCGACCTCGCGGACCGTCCCGGCCCCGGACGAGTACATGCCATCGACCTCTCGAACCACCCCGGCTCGGGACGAGTTCGTGTCACAGACACCACTCCGGGTTGGGTTCCTCCCGCCGACCCGCCGGGGCACCCCGGACCTGAACGAGTACTTGTCTCTGACTCACCGGAGCGCCCCGGCTCGGGGAAAGCGCCTGTCACCCGCTCGTGGCTCGCCGCCGGCCGGAGAGCTGTACGTGCCTCGGACGACGCAGTGTGCCGACCCCGGAGAGCACTACCTGACGCCAACGGTGCGAGATGTGCCCGCCGCGGAGCAGTACGTGGACGCCACACAAAACCAGTGAGTGTCTCGGCCAGGCCTTGCGTGCGCGCCCACCCGCTGAGTAAGGCCTTTAGTGGCGATATTTCTGCTGCGTGGCCCTTAGCATTGGTCATTGGCTGCACCCTGATCACATCCAACATAACGTGCGCCGACGGTAACACCCAGGCTGCTTACTTAAGCCAAATGCGATAATGAAATGCGCATGAAAGACGGTCGGAAAAAATTAAGCATACCAAGCCGGTCGACAACTTTGTGCTGGTTGTGACTACTGTTTAGTACTTGTCTAGTTTACTGTTCACTACTGTTTAGTCGATTCCCAATGCGGCTTTATGTTGTTGTATAGGTTACTTTGATGGTCTGTTGTATTCCAGGTTCTGGCATCTCACTCAGCATCAGCCAGTAACCCCTGTACACTACCCTCTTACCCCGAGTGTCCCATACCCACCGCCTCAAGGCCAGTACCCCTTCCTATGACTCGAGCGGCCCCAGCGGTGTGAAGGGCTCGGTGCCGCAGCTCAGTCTGCAGTCCACCTACTACCCAGAGACGCGCCACTACTCGACGCTACCCCACCAGCGGCCGCCGTCGACCAAGCCGCTCTCCAGCTTCGGCCGGCTGGCCAGCCCGCCGCCGCCGTCCATACCGGAGGCGACGCTCGAGCACCGCGGTCACCTGGTGTAGCCGCCACACCACGTGATCTGCTCTCGGCTGTGATACACGGACGCGCGCGGGCGGACGGCCCCGACCGGCGGGCAGTGCCGCCGGACACTGGTGACGCCGTGGTGGACTGATCCGGCTCACTTATTGTATATTAGGGAAGAGCGTTCTGGGGAACCGGTGTGCTTCGCGAACAAGTCAAGTATTGAAGTATTGGAACACAGGTCGGATATGACCTGACGTAACTCGAAACCTGTCTTCCTGGGAAGCACTGGGTCAGGATTATCCAGTACTAGGCAGGCTCAAAAGAGCCGTGTCATAACTAGAAGAGGAACTTTAACTAGCCGAGGGACTTAAGCTCATTAAATGGACGACAATGCTGCTGATTTATTCAACTTGTAGTGTTATGATGTCCTTAATGAAAGTATGAAGTCATCGAACAAACAAGCACATGGTTGAAAGTGCGTTTTTGCTAGGGGTGAATATCGTGCAAACGGACAAATTCCAGTGGACCCTCAGTTTCACGTGCCTTTAGTTCTCTCGCCTGGGTAACCCAAAGAAAGAAGCAGGAAGTGGTAAGATCTGTGCTTTGCTCACGATAAGAAAACTTCAGCATCAAGTAGGTGCTGTTGCCGATCTGGTGTGTTGCTAGCCCCTCTAGTCACCCGCTCCTGAACTGTACTTATCTGATGATGTGGGCTTGTTCGTGTCGCGTGAATTCCGGGAATGCCGTCATGCACCAAGTGCTCTCTGTAGTAAGCTTGGTGCGATTTTTCTACTGTTGAGTATTTGTAACAATACACTATAGAGGAGGAAGGCTTCCTCGCCTAATTGGTGCGTGAATTTGTTCGACGACAAGGGTCACACATTATACATTGACCGCCACTGCCTGGTGACTAAAAGTAAACCTATCGCAGACCATGGACTCGAGAACTCACTTCCCAACCATGGCCCAACTTGCTAAAGGCTGACTGATGATTTAGTAAACAAGCTCTGAAAGAAATGATATTTGCATATCAGGTGAGGTCACTGAGATGTGGCGTCATCAGTGAAGGCTTGTACGCTAATTCTGTGTCTCTGCATGTAGTAATTCGAGGTTTCCCTTCGTGTTTTTAATTGTGTTGATGTCATTCATCGACTGTTTTGACTATGGCCAGTCAGGGTTAGTCTTGCTAAGCCAGGAAATCAGCGCGGGTCATGTGAGGCTTATCTCACAAGTTTTTAGCCAACTGGGTTAGATGTGATTTTTCCTTTCGACGGAAGAGACGGACCATGGTCAATTAATTTATCCAACCCTGATTTGACAAGACCTGACGGTTTTGTCCTCCTTCATTATTGTTAACACCATGCCATAATTTAGAAGTGCAAAATGGCGCGGCCTTTCGTTTGATGTCAGTTACAATGATGTGCCACTCATAGTGCGGGTGCTTAAGAGTTCTGATTAGTCCCGAGATCCAACTATCTCAACTAAGTTATCAAACAAATTACACTCCTTTTCTGCTCTGTATTCTGCCCCGAGATACCAGATGGGTGGGCACGTGACCTTTCTCGTCCGTTTCAAGTTGTGGGGAGTTCTGCCAGTGCGGTAGTTAAGTGTATAAATATCAAATGGTCACAGGATACCAAGAACCACTGTGCTCATTTCAACTCCTTTTTCATATTCAAACAACAAAACTAAAACGCCTATATCTGTTTATTCATTTATATGTAACCAATCATGCGCATTTGGCACAATTCCGTTACATCATCTACCACAGCAATAACTTTCGTATGACTAGCACTTCCGCGACTCACAAGTTTGATGGACATGGGCAGTTTGGAGATGGGCTTCATCCAAACATGGGCTTCATCCAAATATCCGGACCACTGTTTCCGATTACAACTCCCGACATCGTGCAAAACCGTCCAAGAATGGGTCACAACGGGCAAACCGCATGCAACGCACGTACATAACACAATGATGCACAACTGAATGTCGTGCTCGACTGGACCTGTGTTCCCCAGACAGCATCACCATTAGGACATAATCCTGACCGTCATGTCGGTGTAATTCATCGTGCTCAGGCAACGGCGACATTTCGAGCAGTTATTATAGGCGAAACAGAGCTCTCAGGAACAGGACACGTTGAACAGGTCTGAACAAAGCAGGCGGATGAGCTACGCGCCAGACAGCACGGTGCTATTTCCTTTATTTTTGGCGCAGGACGGATCAGCTTTCCGTGGTGCAGCCTTAGTGTTAATGAGGAACACGCGCACCGGCGACACACTTGCCCTTTGTTGAAATTCATTCCGCAAAGGCGCTGACAGTCGGTGCAGACCGACACCCATTGCAATCACCATTTCGCCTCCGGGGCATTGCCATATATGCATGCCGAAGCTGAATCTTCTGCGTGGGCAGGCAGCGGTGGTGGCCTGGTGGAACACAAAACAGTTGCGTGGGACAGGCAGCGGTGGTGGCCTGGCGCAACACAAAAGTTACAGCGCGCCTGACTCGCAAAGACAATGCGTTCCGTGTACGCACTCGCAATACGCTTGGCGCAATGCTCCGACGGACAGAAAGTAGTATGTCTCCTCGCTACAGTCACACTTGCAACGCAATCGCGAGGACATCTCGTACTTTAAAAAGGTTCGCTGACAGGTGACGGAGGGAGTCTACGTTAGTGTGGCTGCAAGAATCAAGCAAAAGCTCGTCCGGGGTGACGTGTAATTTAAGGCGGGCTTTCACGAGGGTGCCCCAACGGAAGTGCTCGTAATTTTTCAAGAGCTCCGAGCTCTCACTCGCGCGCGCTCAGGTATTCGGTCTCATGACAATATGATGATGAATGCGAAGAGTAAGACGCTTTATCGTTCACACAACATAGTCATACATTGATTCTAGCATTTGTTATCAGGACATACTTTCACTGTAGTTTTCAGCACGTTCTTAGGAGCCTCTCACCATACAGCATGAGCTTCATCGCGCATATAAAGCATCACAACTCACAACCGTCCCACCGAGACTCTAAACGTCCACCACCAGTACGCCAGACGCACGCCAGACGCACCAGTACGGCGGACAGCCCGGGCGCGACACCTCGGGTGACTTGTCACCAATGCAGCCACGCACGCAGACCGTACTGACATCCCTGCGCTGGTGCCCTGTCCTTCTGCGTGGTCCCGTTTGGCGCTTCCCTGCGTGGACCGACTCCGCACCGCTGGTGCGGACTGACTCCTCATTACTCCGCGCGGGCTGACTCTTCATCATTTCTCGCGGACTGACTGTTCACCACTCGGCGCGCGTTCAAGCGCCATCCCCACGTCACTGCCCATCCACCTGGTCTTCGCATCACAGCCTTGTTCCGCGGCGCTGCGTCGGAGGTGGCGCCTCCCACACCGGGCGTCGTCGCTTGGCCACAGACGTGATTTGGCGCCACCTACACCGGGTGTCGTCGCTTGGCCACAGAGGCGATTTGGCGCCATCTACACCGGGCGTCGTCGCTGGGCCGCGGGGGTGACGGCGTCGCCGATGATACAACATACCCCAACGCCTCACCGTGCCACAGCTACCGCATTGCCTCCACCCACGCCAGCAGTCCCTTTGTCCGTCAACGACCACGGTGGCGCCGCCTACACCAGGTGTCCCGTCTGAGCCCCGGTCACAGCCACCGACGGCGGCGGCGGCGGCGGACTGGCGCGCCGTCCGAACGTCTGCAGCTGCTTGATGGCCGCCGACCGCGGTCTGGCGGGCAGCGTGTAGATGCACAGCTCCGCTGGCGGCACGTACTCGTCGTCCGCCTCCGGCCGGCGGCCGCCCCGGCCTGGCTGCGGAGTGTAGGCGCGTCGCTGCAGCGGAGGCGTGTAGACGCAGCGCTCAGCCGCGCTGGCCGCGTGACCGGCGGCGTCGGGCGCGCTGCGACCGCCCGGCCGGGCCACGTCACTAGAGGAGACCAGGTCGGGCGTGGCGCTGCCAACCTGAACGACTCGGAACGGAGGACTGCGCGCCGGCTGGGCTGAGTAGCCCGTGTGCTGGCCGCTCGCTGGCTCAGCGGACGAGCCTGGGGCAAACACCAAAGGTCTCTCGCAGGCATCTTACGTTTTACACGTTCTGGGCGACGATTGCCGTTGCAAGAATGCAACCTAACGCGGAGTATGTTAAGATGACGTTTGCAATTTAGTGTGGCGGCAGGATTCATTCTCTCTTTTTTGCGAGGTAGAGACACAGAATTGAGAAAGAAGACGACGCCTAAAGTGGATCCTTCTTGGATCAGTGGTCACATTCCAGCCGTGTGTGTTTCTTCTAGAGGACAGGAGACACGTGCAGTCCGATTTTGCCGGCATTGGCGTCCGCTGCCCCGATGCTATTGACAACATGAATGCTCCCTGCCAGAACTATAACCTCAAGCCCAACTGCTCCTCCCCTCCCGATGTCTGAGACCCAGCTACCCACACTTACGATGACCCCAGGCATGCACCAATTCGCGCGGAGGGCGCCTCACCTCCGGCGTAGGTGTAAGAGTTCCTCCTGACCGCTTCGGCGAGATGGTCGCTGTCGTATCCGGCGGCGGAGGGCGAGCGGAGTCGACGGCACTCACTGCGCACCGGACCGGACGCCGAGCGGACCGGGCCGGACCGGACCGCGCCGCCGCCCCGCACCGGACCGCTGCAGCGCCGCTGAAGGTCCGTCTGGGCGCGAGCGGGAGCACCGCGGTTAGGGGAGCACCGTGGGAGCGGCGCATCGCGGTTAAGGCAGCACCGTGGTAAGGGAGCATCGTGCTTAAGGGAGCACCAAACTTGGGAGAGTATCGCGGCAAGGGGAGCGCCGCGGCTAGGGAAGCACGGCGCTTGGGGAGCACCACAGTTAGGGAGCACCGCGGTTAGGGGCGAGTCGAGCCGGCAAGACCTGGCAGAGAGGGTCGCGGCTTAGACCACGAACCAATGGTCCCATCGGTGCATGCGTCCAGGAGTAGCAATCAGTAGTAATCAGTAGTAATCAGTAAGTGCGTGCAGTGAAAAGAGAGAAATTCGTCGCACAAAGAGCCCACAGCGGCGCCATATCAGCACTAGCCGGATGCACGGGTACCGGGTGAGGTTTGGTGGTTGCTGGAGTTCGTGTCACCTGCATGCATTAGCATTACACCAGGGCAACCGTGACTTTGCATTGGTCGAATACCGACACATGTCGACTCACACACCGCTTCTAACCACCGTAGCTGGTCGAGCGCCGGCGCCATGCCTGTACTTGCACTGTGCATGCAATTGCATTCTAGCGAAGTGCATCAAGAAAGTATATCGAGGGTGAATGTGTACTTGTGGTCAAATACTTCGGCTGATGCCGAAAGAAATGGGAAGGATTTTGGCCTATACAAATGGCAAGGTAAACAAAGAGCTGCAAAATATGCACTTCAAGCCAGAAGGTCTGCTGCAATCCGTCAATCACGTGACTTAACGATACCGCTCACTTCCGGAACAGCTCGTGAAAGGCACATACCTCGTAGTCCTCCAAGCTGTCCTCGCGGGTGTAGCTCTCGCCGCTCTTCACCGACATCGAGCTGACAGTCTCGTTGCCGTACATGTGAAGTGTCTCGGACTTGGTGCTCGCCTCGCTGGCCGCTGTAAAAACATGTTTTGGTTAATCCTCCCGGCTGGACGCTTGCGCCCGGCCCCACCGGCCTTTGCCATCCAAAAATGACAACCTAAGCCAAGCGAGAAATGGCAAACAGTCGGAACCCTGAAAAACAATGTTGGATGACCCAACCAACAAATTCTAGGCACATGTGACCTACCTGCACCTTGGACGACTAAGTGAATGCATCGTCATCTAGTTTGGCATCATTGAATACAAAATCAAACATACAACACATATCTTTACAGCGCATACTCAAAGGAAAACGAATTTTTTTTGGTGCCTGAATGCAAATCACGTTTTATGAGACCCGATAAATAAAAGAATTATGTAAACAGACTGGGCGAGAATTATAAATATGTGCGTCACATGTACACGCCACACCAATGAAATACTGATGAAGGGCACATTTTTTACCTGTGCAGAGTTGGTGGTGAAAGGAATTTTCAAAATGCATCGAACGACCTCGTGAAGTTTGTGTACTGAAGTCATTTTGGCGGCTGAGATTTTGATTTACATTGCTATTAAGTCGTTTATACTACATGAAACATGTTCACTTGAAGTAAAGAATGCCCTAATTGTCAAAGGTTAATACAATTGATACATGATGTGGTTTGATTTGTTGCGCGTGTTCCGAGAATTAATGGCTTTGCTCGTGATTACACAACCGCATCTGATAACAGAAACTGCACTGACTGTAAGTGTCAGTACTTGAATGATCCATAGAATATCATTTACAATGAGCTTTTAACAGGTTTTCAGCTGCCTAACATGAACCTGGGCAGTGAGCCAAGCTGTCCCGTGTGGGTTTCCAGATTACCCTCCGAACGTCGCGATGCAGTCACGCCGAACTATGCTGCAAGGGGTTTAATAGCAGAAGTTGTGAAAACAATTATATATATATATATATATATATATATATATATGTGTGTGTGTGTGTATCCGTGCGTGCGTGCGTGCGTGCGTGCATGCGTGCGTGCGTGCGTGCGTGCGTGCGTGCGTGCGTGCGTGCGTGCGTGCGTGCGTGAGTGCGTGTGTATGTGCGTGTGTGCGTGTGTTTTGACCTGCAACAGGCCAATACCAGGTCATGGTTACCGGCAAAAACATCGCTTGCGACACCTTTTAAAGAAATGCCAGAACAGAGAACCTTAGAACAGAGAACCCTTCTTAGAGCCCATTGCTGAAACTGTACGAAGTCATGCAGTTTTGAAATAGGTTCTAAGAAAACTTTCAATTGGGAGTGAGATTATAACTAACTTGGTTGACCTTGGGTTAGGTATGAAGATAAGATTGAGGTCAAAACCAGGCAACCTTTTCCCAGAAATTTTGATTTATGGGGGTTTTAACTGCGCCCATTCCGAAAGCTTTTGTCAAGAAGACGTTACATGAAACGTGCTTTGTTGGCTTCATGAAGATAGAGGGAGATCAACCGCCTCAAAAAACATTGATCAACATTTTGCCTAGAAGAGCCCTGGTGAGGAGTACCTGGAAGTGAAGAACAGTACCTGGTGTAGTTTTTAAGTTAATTTAAAAAAATAAAGATCAAACTAATTTCGAAAGATGCTTCCGGTCTTGGCTGTTCAGAGGTCAGATGATTTAACTGACCTGGAAGGACCATTTGTGACCTCTTCCTGTCGAAGGCTATCGGGACTAAAATTGATTGCGTGAAAAAGTTTGAATGCACCTATGACACTGACTCTAAATTAATCTCGTATGACGGTACTTGACCTGATAAGCACAACCCAGAGCCTTACAAAGCCCACACAAATTAGCTCATATAGTGTTACGAGCCCGCTGAATTTAAAGGTTTCTGGTTTCCTTACACGTTAATACCCGAGGTGTCAAATCCTCCCCTCCGCGGGCGCGTAGCATTCAGCCAGCCATCCGGGAGCGTGCTAACGCTGCGCAATGACCTCCACCACTATAATGACTTGTTTGACACTCACATGTCGATTCCATCACTTTCGGCTTTCCTCTCCGCATTCGTCGTCGTATAAAGAACACGACAAGCACGACGTTCAGAAGAAGCAGCAGCGCTCCAACAGAGGATACGACGATGATGACAATCCAGGGCAGGTGACCCTCTTCAAACAGCATCACTTCGGCGGCATCGGGGTCATCTGAGGGGTTACAACGAGGTCACAACAAAAACACTCACCGGTCTTGTGGCTCTTTTGGCGACGTCTGCAGTAGCAGCTGATGAAGACAATGTTGAAAAGCAGCAGGAAGGCTCCGACCACCGTGACAATGATGATGGTGAGCCGGGGGAAGGTCGTCTTAGTGGAGTCATCCCGATCAGTGACGTAGCTTACTGGAGGGGGGCCTGGGTGGGCTACCGGGCGTGCGTGTTAGACGTGCCATCACCTTAATAGCCATTATAGACATGCAGAGCACTTAACTTCGGTCAGTTAGTTCCAAGGAGTGCGTTAGTTTGGGGGTTTGTCAAACCAGGTAGCAGCAGCTACTCCCAGCAGTGGTAAGCCGCAGCCCGCCAGCTCTAAGCAAGCACCAGCCATATGCATTGCTGTGCACGTTATATTCTGAGGGTATCAGGTTACACTCTGCAGCACAGAATATTTCGATGGTTATATCAAGTTTTTTTCCAAACCAGCCTGGCCATTTTTGTGCATAGTCTCACAAACGGTCATAAAAATGCACACAGTTGCAAATAGCAGTGATCAATGCATATCAGAGCTTTAAAGGGAACCACGAGACTTGGTCGAAAATGCTGAAGCTTCTGGTGTAATGGCATCCAACAGGAACACCATCACCTCCACCCTCAGGCTTCAGAGACAGGTTTGAATCGGTTGGTGGCAGCATGTCACACGATCGTCCATCAGGCCGATTTGTGCCAGTCACCACGGTGTCATGGTTACTATCGCAGCGGACATTGACCTGGAGTCTTGGCTGTGGTGACGCCGCCGTAAACACTCTGGCCGAGCGTGTTGTAGGCCATGACGGCGAAGCTGTACTCCGTGCTGGGACGGAGACCCCTCACGATAAGAAGGGTGACGTTCTCCGGCTGTACGTCGTCGTACCTCGGGCCCACTCCACTGGATGTGTCGTGATGGCGGACTCGATACATCTGCAGTGGGAAGAGGAGGTGCCACGTCTCGGGCACGTTGCCGTTCCACTCGGTCGATAATCAAAACATCGAATCGAGTAATTCGGCTTTGGGCTGCAGGGGAAACAACTGAGGGGAAAGTGCATGAGCAAAGCATTTTTGCCAAAACCTGTCTGTTGCCTGTGATGGACTGCTTGCGACAAAGGTCACAACGTAATGAGTGTTGTCACTGACAGTAAATAAGCCATCCGTGTGCAAATATTTCTTTTCCGTTTTGGCATCACGCCAAGCATGTGACACCTAGGCAAGTAGTTCAGCATGATTATAGCTTGACTGGTGCCGTTGGCACCCTGTCAAAATATTGTCTCTCACCTGCGACAGTCCTCCGTTGAAGCCTGGCGACCAGGAGAGTGTGGCAGTGTCGTGGGACACGTTGACCACCTTCAGCCCCGTCGGCGGGTCAGGGGAGCTGGGACGGCCCAGCACCAGCTCCTGACGTCTGGAGCTGAGCTCATTGTGAGCCACACACCCGTACGTGGCATAGTCCGAGGCCTGCACGTCCTTGATCTTGAGCACCGACTGCCAGGTCACCAGGTCAAGCTGTGGACACATGTTACAACCTGAACTAGGAAATATCTTGGTGTTACCCACGCCGTGACGCCTTGCATGACATATGTTGTTAAGAATAACTTCCATCCATCCACTTACCCCTTTTCAGCCGTCCTTGATCGCGAGCACCGACATCTAGGTCAACAAGTCCACCTACTGCAGAGGAATTTGTATCCTTAGATTCCGCGGATGAGGGACAAAGGTGTGATAGCACACCCATAAACCTATCCGACCTGACCACAGCTTCCCAGTGTCCGCACCAAACGGTCAAGTTTACCTCTCTGCAGGGCGTAATGGCTAAGTGGTTAGGGCCTTTGGCTTCCTAGCGCCTTTGGCTCCCACGTGGGAGGCCCCGTTCCAACCCCAGTTACGTCATGGCTTAAGCGCTAGCAGGGCCTCTGTAGTCGCCGGCGTTCCACACAAGGGTACGGGAAAACGCGCGAAGTGCCTTGTTAAAGGAAAAAAGCTTACCTCTTTCGACACGATGACTTCAAATAAGGCTACACACCCACCTGTGTGTAGAGAAGCTGGTATTTGTTGGCGGCCACTGTTTCGTCGATAGGTTTTCCGAGTTTGCTCCACTGGAACGTCACGTTGGGAGCTCCCCGCGCCCGGCAAATGATCTGGGCCGTGCCGTTCAGTGGGGCGGCGGATTTGGTGAGCCGTGGATCCCGAACTAGTTCTGGCTCATCTGGAGCAGTTCAACAACACGGTAAATAACTAAAGCGCACGCAAAATACGAGTATATAAAAAAGCAGCGATCATATGTAAGAGCCTTGAGTCAGGGATTGTAGACACATTATTCAAATCGTTCCTGCGCTGTTTAACGGAGTCTGTCCAGCCTTTATTCTCAGCATCATTAAGGAACGTCCAGCAGTCGCTGAAAAACACGCAGACGCAAATAGCTTGTCCTCATTTTGAATACTTTTTAAACAGAATTAGAGAGCTAGCAATGGCTGCTTACGCTCTACAAGTAGTCTTGTCGTTGCCGTGGTCTCCCCAATTATATTGTGTGCCCGACACTGGAACTCTCCAATGTCCTCTTTCGTGACGTTATACAGCGTGAGGATGGAGGAGCCGTTGACGTTGGCGATGTTGACCCTGCTGGAGCTAAAGTTGAAGTGGTTCCGCTGCCAGGTTATCATATCTGACGTGAAGGGGTTGCCGTCGGCTGAACATGTCAGGACTGCTTCACCTCCAGAAGGCACCATCACGATGGTGGAGATAAAGGTGATTTCTGGAGGATCTGCAAACGCGAAGACAACGACTCAAATACTAACTCAATATTATGACTTATATATCATTGGCGCCATACAGAGCAGATTATCCGGCCATACAGGTATTCAGTCGGTAGCCCGCATCTTACAGGATACCATTAGGGTTGAGTTGGTTTGGATTTCCTCAGCCTGATTTAAACTTACGCGGGGTTAAGAAACCCGGCGGGAAGGCAAGCATGGGTGTAACCCTTGGGGGCAGAACGATTATCCCACAAATTTCCCACATCGGAGCTCTGTCCCCTCAGATTGTATCGATACGCACTTCCTCCTTTTTCACTAAAAATACCTTTTCTGGCTCGGCTGTACCCCTAGACAGCGTCGTTAAACTCGTGGAGGCAAGGACCAAACTAGACACAATTTTCACAGCTTACCCTACCGGCTTCTGTTCAAAGCGTTCCCGTTGTTTCCATGAGGCTGGGAACCGGAGCGGCACGAGGACTAGTATACCAGGGGTAAATTACAATAAACTGTGCCGCACCTGGCTATGCAAGAATGCAGTTTTTGAAATGAAGAGGAGTAAGGCGTATATATGACAAAGGCTGCAATTACAAGCAGTGCACATGTCCACGTTTAGATACATTAAAGTGAAGTATTAGCGTTATAAATGCATAGCTATCAAAAGCACAGCAGACTAGCACAAAAACGAAATATTTCAGGAAATTATAAATCCTAGATATGGATACTTACACTGTACGTTGATTTGAAGCCGGACGCTTGAGTTGCCTTCTATATTTGTGGCTTGCAGACGGTACCAGCCGGAGTCCGATTTCCTTGCCTCAGGTATTTCTAATAGAGGACCACCCGAGAGAAAACCGGTGCCATCTACTGGTGGCTCTCGGTACCACTGGTACATGATGTCACCGGGGTCGGCTCTGGCAGTTAGATTCACTACTACAGAAGAACCAAGCTTGGCATCTTCCTTGTAAATGTTCTTGGCAAACTGAGGAGGGTCTGTGGAACGAAAAAAATGGACGGTAAGCGCTAACAATCGCATAGGTAAATCACTGGAAACCACCAAACGCAGCTCTTCCTTTGCGATATCAGCCCAATAAATCAACCAAGTTAGATCTTACAGCCAGCGTACCGTGTGACTCTGAACCGGGACATCTGTGTCTACCAAGTGTAACCCTGGACCGGGACCTGCTTTTACCAAGTGCCAGCATATCACGCATACCGTGTGATTCTGGACCAGGTCATCTGTTTTTACCCCGTGGCAGCATACGGCGCGCGTGCAAAGTGTATGTCTCCCGTCCGTCGTGCCAGAGCCACCCAAACTTACTAAGGACAACTTATTACCCGAACGAGTCACGCAGATGCTTAAAAGAAACCAGGGGTTAACGAATTCACAGTCCTACGATGACGTACACTACAGCATCGACCATGCTCACGTGCAACGCGGAGCGTGACGTTGTCTTGCAGCCTTCCGGGGAGCTCTTGTATGCTGGAGCGGCAAGTGTATGTAACCAAATCATCCGATGAGGTCAGGTTCTTGCGCATCTGAAGACGACTGGAGAAACTGTAACAACAAGAAACTTCCGTGAGAAATGGAAAACACCACTGCACAGTTTTGTATAGCCATCAGCACACCCATTACCATTGCATTGCACGTTGCACATCCATCAGCCTCCTCATCCAAGGCTTCCTTGAGTGTATTTCCTAAGAAAAACAACGAATAAATGTACGCCAAGGTACGGTGTTTCCTAAGGCAAATACAAACTTTTGAACACAAAGCAGTGGTAACAACGATGATTGTCGTATTTGGCGCGTCAGTTTGTTCCCCAGCTGACAGCGTATTTCCGTCCATCTTCGGAAACTCACCCGCCGTGATCGCCACTCGGGAACGTTTCTAGCGCCGTGACTCCATCGGTGACCTGGGCATTGTACCGCCACCAGGTGAGATCAGCGGCCGGGTAGGAGGGTCGTGACTCACAGGTCAGGATCGCCTGACTGCCCGCCCTCAGACGCTCCGGACGAACCTCCAGCTTCAGGCTGCTCGGTGGAACTGACAGGCGCAACAGATTAAAGGGCGTCAAGAAGTTGTGTGTGGTGAAATGTTTGGATTTGAATTTCTACTTTGATAGCGTTATTCATTGGCATAAAGGAATGTTCGTCACCTGCCCAAAAAGTTTCTTAGATTGTGACGTTTTCGTTAGGATTTATACATAGTGCACTTCCAAACTTCCACATTTCCAAACTTGCCCAAAATCCCAAGAAAACTCTCGGATTGAATGCCAAAATTGAACTAGAAACACGACTATGATCGGGGCACGGCCCATGTTAGCTCCATTGTAGTGCACTCACAATAAACTCCAAGAGTAACGCTGTCCGACATCACGTCCCCCATCTCCGAGTTCTGGCTGTCGCACTTGTACACCCTGCCGTTGTCCTTGTGGTCCACCTCGAAAGTGATAACGCTCCGGGCCACGTTGTCCTCGACCTCGGTGTCGGAGGCCGTCTCGACGTCGCCGCTGTACCAGGTCAGGGTGGCCGGCGGGTTGCCGCCCTGGGAGACGCACGAGAGCGACACCCGCTCCCCAGCCCGCAGGTACGTGCCTGGCTCGTATCCCAGGATGCTCGGCGGCTTCGGAGGATCTGGAATGAAGTGTGCGAGGGTTTTAGCCATTCTACGTCTGGGCAAAATTCACCACAGCTCAACTAAAATCAGTTTTCCATAAAAAACAATGAATAATTACCATAATAAACTTCAAGGAAAAAATTTAAAATGTAAAAACACTTTTCTCAAAGGCTCAAACCTCAAGGCCTTCCACTCAGCATGAATTGCGACTGGGTGCTCATATAAACTTACGGAGGACGGTAATCCTTGTCGACCCCACTTTGCTGTGTCCCAGAGATGGATTGAGAGCGTAGCAGGCGACCATCATGTTCTCCTCCATGCCGGGAGGGATGGTGGTAGAGATGTTGGAACTGGTTACCCAGCCGCCCCCAGGGTCTTCAAACACATCCCGAGAGCTCTGGGAACGACGTACGATCACGAAGCCGTCGCGAGCACATCATGTCCTTGTCAAACATTCTCCAGAAGCTGAAAACACATTTTTATGCCTGCATTAAGCACCTAAATCGCGGCGCACTAGCGTCCCACGGAATCGGCTTCGTTGTACAATTTACTCCTCATTCAAGCTGTGACGTTTCGATGGCAGTCTCGTGGCCGCGATGAGCCTATGCATATAGTACACGCATGCAATGGTGTTTAGTGATTCGACATTGCTTTCCACTGCGGCATTACTTACATTCGGTCATGGTCCTTCCATTGATGGTCCAAGTAATGTTTGAAGGCGGATTACTGCCGGAGGTGACACAGTTCATGTGCACCGTATCTCCACCTTGGGCCTCCCGCGTACCTGTTACCGTGACCGTTTCAGGGCCGACTGAAAACGTATTTACAACACTCAGAACCAGGTCATAGACGTGGCAACAGCTTGATTGTTTCGTCGGGTGTAAACAAAACCGGTCGTGGTTGGTGAACTTAAGCATGATGTGAAATAGATGTAATATCACGCTTGCGAATGTAGTAACAGAAGTAGTAACATGGGCAGGCTTATGAGCCTGCAGTGGAGTGTCGTACATTGTTGGCTCTTGGCTAGCCAAGCGATTAAAAAGAAATCAAATCAACGGGAATATCCCTTACACTGAACGTTTAGCTTGATCTCGGCTTCCATGACCTCCGGGTGAATCTTGGATGACGCTTCACATCGATAGGTCGCGTTCAGGTCGGCGAGGCTTGCTCTCAGGGTGTGCTTGGAGACGGCCCCATCGGAAGTTAGGCGGTATTCCGCGCTGATGGGCCGACCGTTCTTGAGCCAGACCAGCTCGGCCGGTGGGTTGCCGCCCCGGGAGATGCAGGTCAGCATTTTTTGCTCGCCGATTCTGACCACCTCGCCGTCCGTGAAGCCGCTGATCTCAGGGAGTCCCGGAGGGTCTGCCGAGGAGGGCAGCAGAGACACAACTTTAGTTCAAGCGCAGCAATAAAGACGCTGTACAAATGAGTGTCACTGCTGTAGATGAGGCATACGCCTAGCACACGATGTGCACTTTGTAACTACTGTATTGGGTTGTTACGCACTGTGAGTTACGATTACCGCCTACAGCCATTGCCTAGTACAATTGCACCTACTGCTCCACTTTTTCCAACTGTTTGTTTATAAAGATGGGCCGAAAATCGTAGTTTTAAACAGGAGCCCCAAAAATGCGCGGGGCGAAAGTCGGCGTATTTACTATTTTTCTCCTCATCTCGGCAGTGCATCGTCATGTTCTAGTATCCGCACCACTATCGTGATATGGCTACCGCTTAAGCATATTCGCATCTCAAAGGGCTCATGTTACGGCCAGAAACTTACAAAAATATTGCACAGTAAGGAGAAATGAGGTACAAAAGGAAAGCCACACGATCCAAATCAAGAGGATATCACCATACGATACACAAATAACTAAAAAATATGTCGTCAGTTGGCCAAACTACCACTGCGTAGGGAAACTGCTCACTCGAAGAAATTGTAAGTGCGAGACCACAATAACTTGACGGGAATTAAGTCAGCACACGCGTTAAGATAGCACCATGGAATCGACGGCCGCGTGGTCGCGCCACATGACGCATCCCGAGGTCTGACAGATGTCATAACACTCACAGAGGACGGATAATCGAGGCCTGACAGATGTCATAACACTCACAGAGGACGGAGAGCCGCACTGTCGAGTTGAGCTGGCGCTGCTCGGCCGGTCGGATGGCCGGGTGTTTGGCCACGCACGAGTAGCCGGCGCCATCATCGGCAGCAGTGGGCCTGCAGTGTCACCACCGAGGTCGTGTCGTTACGGCGGGGACTGCCCCAGCCGGAGAACGAGTCCTCTTGTCCTGTGAGCGTTGGACAACTCTGCTACGCGAGGAATGCCTCCAGGCGAAGAACAGTCGTGTTCGCCACGGGGATACAGGGATACCACAAGCGTACATGATGGTGTTTACCATTGCCAGTAGATGTTGTCTTGTTCCGGAAAGTTACACCAAATACATACGAGAAATCTGAAGTGCTGAGCGTCCGTGCGCTGAAAAGTACGCCCACCTAGATTCATGACGACACCGTTTCGCTGCCAATGGACTTCCGCTGCCGGGCGAGCCCCAATGACGTCGCATTTCAACGTCAGCTGGCTGCCTTTGGCGACCTCGTACAGGCCTGAGCTTGAAGCCGGGGCCAACGAGCGAATTTGGACGGTTGATGGTCTCACTGAAATCAGGCACGAGTTGCCGGCGGTGACGGGTGGAAAGAAAGAGGCTCGCCAACCGGGAATCGAATCCATGCAATCCCAAGCGGATTGTTGAGGTTTCCATTATACATACACGCACATATATATATATTTATGTATATATATACATATATATACATATATATACATATATATATATATATATATATATATATATATATATCATCTATCGCTATTGATAGATACACTGAGGCTGCATCCGCCTCAACCGGTTTAGAACATCCTGATAGCAATCAAATTGTCAATCTTAAAGGTTACCAGTGCCAGTAACAGAAGATGGCAACTTAAAAGACGGAAAACAGGAAAAGACGAAACGATTGTTCTCGGACTTCCTTGTCATTTTATGTCAATTTCGCCTCTCCCAATGGCGTGAGAAAATTACACAATAGTGACACGGCTATAACCGTATCAAAGGCGAGAAATTAATTGCGTGCGAAAACTGTACAATGGTGACACGGCTATACCCGTAGTAAAGGTGATAAATTAATTGCAACGAACAGCAAGATTGAGCTAAGCGAGGGGCACATATTCATCGTCAGACGCCTCAGCCTTCGCATTGCCCGCCCTTCTCTCCCAGTCCCGTTCCTGGAAGGCTCCCGTCTTTCGAAACCGCATAGTAAGCGCATCGATCCACAAGGACCTCCCGCCGTAATCCTTTGAAGAGGCCGCGGCGCCGGTGAGCGCGGCGGCCCGGAAGCTGGCAGCGACGGAGGCCCCAGGTACCGGCGGCGGCGGCAGTGCCCCCCCCCCCTACCACTATGCGTGGGTTTTGGGGCGGTTTGACGCCCACTGTACAGTGCAGGGGTGCTTTGAGGGCCCGCCCAGGGTGGGGTGTGGTCGGACGCCCCCGCGCAAGGTACGGAAGTTGGCGAACGCATCGGTGTCGGGTCTGGAGCGGACTCACGCGCGGCTCCACAGCGCCAGACATCGAGCATCTGCCTGTGGCATGGGCATGGGAGGAGTCTGTCCGACTTGAAAATGACAGGACACCGCCGTACATTAATCGCAAAGGCCAGGGAGCATATGTTAAGTCAGAGACGTTTATAATTCCTCCCATAAGTGTGCGCACATGGTTTCTTCGCTGCTACAAGCTGGAGTGGAGGATTCGGACCGGTTGGCTTCAATGGAATGGCATAATTATGACAGCTTATTTCGCATAGACATGACGACTTTCAACTAGTTCTAGCCACTGTGTGGTGCTATATGTCTTGCATTGATCAGTACATTCAAGTTAGCACACTTCTTTGATAAATCATTAATCCACGAATCACCGATCTTTTTTCATTTACGGCTGCAGGACGGTGGAAACTTAAGCTTGCATCGTTCACGACAGCCAAGAAAGACGTCAATACGTACTTTCACCATTTGCCTTGAATTAAGGCCAAGCCGGCCATACAAAAACAGACCGCGGTTTTCCGCTAATGAAATTCGACTTTTCGAACGGTCTGCACCTTGCAACAACCAGTGACCCTCCAGATCATGACCATGTTAAGGGTGGCAGCTGTAAGCGCCTCATCCCTTCAGCGCGCAGATGTCCTGACAACGCGAATGACATTATTTGGTGTCAAACCGGCATAGCTCATTTAATCTGAAACGCTCCGGACTTCGAATCAGATAACCCAGAGCTTGGAGCCATCCATTGTTACTATTTTGTCGGCCGGTTTGCAGGAACCAGTCAAGCGGCTTCCGACGGCAACAGATGACCTAAACATGGCATGTTTATATGCTCACTTACCGCGCGTTCCATGAGCCTTCCTGGCTATACGTCACGGACAACTAAAAATATCGCTGAGCGTGCCAAACTTGGCGCAATAACTGACATGACAGGGGTCTGAGCGGGTGCTGAAGCCCTCAGATGCCTCGCGATACCACACTACAAATAACAGCAGCTGCCATTCGAGTCCTTAAATCGTTTAGCCCCCGTGGGTGTCAGCTTTGGCGTGTCCTAAATTGGCACGGGTGCAAACTAGTTCGGATGAGCCCCACCATTACTGATAGATTCACATGGGTCGATTTTGATGGACCCCTGACCGCCTCATAATGCACTTACGACATTGGTGAAACTGTACTCATCACCCGAATATATCGCCACCGTGTCTTCAGTTGTTTGGACCGCTTGCTCACAGCGAAGTGCTGTGTTATGAGTTCCAGCCTCGCCTACTATGCAGGTGTTTGGTCACCTCTTGCTACAATTGACGTGCGACGTTGAGATGTCGCTGACCACTGGTCCCAATGCGTTAGTCAAGCTGATGACAAAACGTCCTTCGTTATGCAAATTGGTGATATCCCTAATAGTAACATAGTTATGTATAATATTTCGAAGGAACTCGATGCTGCTCAACGACTTTTGTCAACTCTAACAGCCAGTACTATTGCCATGTCTCTTGTTATCGTTTGCAATGCGTCGAAGGTTTTCCACAAAACATCATAACAAGATAGCATGCAACATTGCACACACCGCTTGACATTTTTGGGTAACACTTCACTCGATACCGTGATATGACACCTCTCGATTACGTCCGTACATAAATCTAATTGAGAGGTGTTGGGCGCGGCTCTGTCTAAGGACACTGGGGACAGCCCGCCACCCCACAATGCGCCGCCACTGATGGTGCCGATGCACGAGGCAGACACAGAGAACAAAGGGATAGAGTCTCAAAACGAGGTAATCAAATTGCACGTGTCTGTCGGCGCTTACCGAGTACGGTGAGGAACGCGTCAGCTCTGATGGCCGCCTGCCCCCTGTTTGGGGAGACCTGACACTGGAACCGGCCGTCGTCGTCCAGGCTCACGTTGGTGACCTCGAGGTCATGCACTCCTGACCCCGGGTCGCCCAGCATGCGGTATCTTGAGTACCCAGGCAATGAGCGTGAGTAACCTGAAACAAGATTAGTCATTGAGAGAAAGTAAATGTCAATCATTCATCAACGAGAACAAGTCGGCATATGAAGGGATAGGAAATGCTTGAAAGATGGCCCAGTATCTACGAATCGGAGCAATTGTTGCTGAGCCGGTGACGAAGGGAGCCAGCTAGTTTGCATGGCTGGAGATGGTGAGGAGCTGCTGTCCCCCATGCAGCCAGGCGTACCAGCCAGCATAGCCGCAGGCGCGCCGATAGTGGCGCAGAACGACGCCAGCTGTCTGCACGACAGGGAACAGCTGTGGACTCTCCTGGTGATTTGCCAAGAACCTCCAGAGTCAGGAATCGCGCAGTTTCGTACCCTATCATAGCTAAGCTAATGAGGTCAGCGTACTGCGCGGATAATCTACTGAGGCTGCTGAATGCAACCACTCATCAGGCATAGTATCGCAACAGCCCAAGACTGATGAGAGGACAGTTAACCGTCGGGCGGGCCAAGCGGTGGTACCAGCGCGACGGATCAGCTTCTGGTATACGAATTAGCACAAAAGGCACCAATGTTATCTAGAGTCTCAAACGTGGTATTCTGAAAAGACGAGCTAGCGATACCGACTTTAAAAGTCCGATGAGCTACATTCATCAAATCAGTAATACGTTTAGCGACCATATGAAACTGCGGAGGCTGAGTTCTGTCCGATAAGAACTACTTCAAAGTGGGCAATGGTGTAGGCCTACAACATAAGTTGGAGTCGCCGAAATCGACGGGGACTCAGAGGGAAAATAATCAAAACTACCCTAAAATGCAACCAGTGACGGGGTTTCCCCGGATTTGGCTTATTTTGTCCTAGAAGTTATGAGAGGGGCCTAGGACCTCACCCCTCTCCCCAACTGAATACGAAACAGCAGCCCTGTGAACAACAAAAACAATACACCAGGCAGTGCCAGTGGGTCCCGTTTCCAGAATCACAAAAGACTCGTAAAGTGACTGACTGATTTGGACCTGAATTTGAAATCTGACTGATCTTTAAGCTCACGTTTACGCTTGACGCCGCTATTCAATGCAGGTTGACCCTCATCAGAGACATTCCCTTGCCACTTGAGTCGATTTGTGCAGCACCAAAGCCTGACATTACATCAATAATGTTGCAACAATACACTAAATTCATTGCAATAAAGCCCCTTTCTAGCCTCTTTTCACGTGTGGAGCGATGTGCTACACGTCAGGTCATGTTACCCAGACAGTTTTGCGCATTTCAACGTCGGTTGACAGCTGCGTGGAGTCGTTTAAAACAATTTATACCGCCCTCGCCATTGATTCCCCGTTCTAGAATCCAACAATTCGGTAAAAGTAATCTGATTGTGATTCTGAGGATACTCTCCTAAAATCGTTATTCAGCGTGGCTTGAATCCAATTAGTGACACTCTCCTGGCGCGTAAGTTGGTTATGTGTGCGCAGCTGAGACTTTGTATCCGAAGAGTAAAATGACTCAATAAGTCATAGTTCTTTTGTTCGCGTCATGCTAAAACAGCTTCAGTGAGAGACGTGCGTGGTTTGAACCAGTTCAGCGGACCGGTGGGGGGGGGGGGGGGGGGATGTCCTCGTTGGCAATGGGTTCCACCACCTCGTGCCTTGTGTGCCGTGACGTCAAGTGTGTGGAGGACTCACGTAGAAGTTTAATAGGAACTGCGGAACCAGCGCTGCCCGCCCCAGGTAAACCGACTGAGCGGCTGCATCGGGACCGTCAGGGCCATCAACCCCGACGGGCGAAAACATAGTTAGTGTTTGTGTCGTTTGATCTCCATATTCCGCCTGTGAAGCACCGCATTGTGCTGCTGGGCTGCAGTTAGATGATATTTTCATCTGACAGGCGCTGAAAATGTGAATCTTACATCAGGGAATAAAACCACGGACATTTGGAAGTTATGTCTGAATGCTCCACCAACTGTGCTAATGCAGACGTAACATTTCAGTGCCGTGAAGATGCTTTTGATGATGTTCATGTTCATGATAGGGTCTTTTGATATTGTGCGTCACATCTGGTGTGTTGTTGGTGTTGATGACATTGGAAGATGAACGGTATCATCTATTAGCAGCATTCCAGGTGTGGCAGCTGCATGATGTGGCCCTTGACAGCCAAAGTGTGGAGATAAAACAACGTGCGCAGTGGGTTCCCAATATACATCAGAATATTCAAATCCAGCATTGTTCATGTTTTTCTAGTGGGACCTGTCGGCGTGTTTCTCTCATTTCTCTTAGAATGCCTTCTTTTCCTCCATTGGTGCAGCCGGCGAACAATTTCGCGGGGGCGTTCACGACTGATCATGGCAAAACAGATGGAAAATATAATTTTGCTTATATGCGATTATGGTAATGGTATGTTAAGTCATTGTTCAACCGTGAGTGAACGTGGACTGCGCATACCAATAACGCGACGCCTAGTGTGCTGGGACGAGCGGGATAACAACAGATGCGGGAACTGCCAGCCGCTGCTCAGGCGTGGTCAATCATCAGCTGATAATTCACAAGTTGGCGACCGATGCCAACAGCTTTGGCACATGCGGCGGAAGGTATACTGCTCATCAGCACTTCAACAGGCGGAGGTTCACTGATACAAAATTTGCGTATCATCTTAGTTCTTATTTTCATATTTGGATAAGCGTCCTTTTGGGCAGTATAATACTATATCAGGGCTATGGGATGAAGAAGGGGGATGATAGTGGAGCAAACTGCATGCAGTTGGGGCCTGGGTGTCCCCATCCACCAAAACCGCGCCTTTACGGGGACCCCTACACAAGGTATGTGCTCTGCGCTCGGACGAAGCCCATCCAGGCGGGACTTTAACCCGCTCATTGCTGTTGCATGCAAGACAAACAGGGCGTCGTGAGGATACAGAATAAAGCGAGAATGAGGAATGTAGGGCGGATGTGAGTTCCTATTCCTATGTTCCTATTCCTATGTGACTTTTGTTAGGAGCAACTCACCTTGCACGTTTTGTCCAGAGCCAGTGTGCTCTCAATGCACAGTGGAAATGGATCGTAACCACCAATAACATGAGCCGGAATTGTAAACATTTTGGACAATACAGGTCAAAGTTGTAGCAAATATAACGAAGCTCAACTTCACTGATACAAGAAAATAGGAAAACCTATATGTAAAAGAAAACATCAACAAAATAAAAAGAGCAAATTTATCTCAAGGAAAAGGTCCAGAAGCATGCTAACTGATTGGGCGAGTCCCCAGCAAATTTCTCTGTTTGAGCCCCCTTTGATGTAAAAATGGTCAAACTATCAGTTCTCATCCCGGTGCATATAATCGGGCAATTTCATATCGACGCAAAACTGAGCATGGACAATTAGGTTACCGCTTTGTAAATGTTGCACGTTAATTTGTCGGGGAATGTTCTACGCCAAGCAAATGTTGTAAATGAATAAAATTCGCCCCTCTCCGCAGAGCATGACCCGACTCCGCGCCACTCGCCGTGGCGGTTCAGGTCGGCCCGTCGAAGTCTCCCCGGGCCAGACATCCGATCGGCGTCGTGTTGACTGCGCTCTGACCACGTCAGCTGCCCTCCAGGTCTCTCTGCGTTGACTCTGACCCTGGAGGCACTCCGCCGCCGACTCTGTTGTCCAGGCCGTGTTGACCCGTCGATTTGGGTCGGTCGCCGCGGGCCCAGCGCTGTCTCCTCCACAAATACAGCGCAGCCCGCGACGGGAGTCTACTGTTTGCGCTCCCGATGCCACCCGTCCAGAGGTCAATCCCGAGGCACCCGCTAGCCCCCAATGTTTCCGGGCACACGCGGTATATTGTTTGAAGCTTACCAGAATTCGGGGTGTTGGTGCAAGCCTTCCAGATTTCCGGAGCCATCTCCCGAAGTATGAGGGCACATTGCATTGAAAACATTTCACTACCTGAGTTTCACGAGTTTTGCACACCACTTTTCATATTTCAGAATTCTGCCGTGTCATGCTACTGGTTTATGCTAGTTTTAGAAAGCCGGCACATTTTAAAAATGTGGAAAATCAACAGCACGCGACTCACTCCTAGTAAATGTGCGTAAGAATCCTCCACACCGATAGTTCTGTTCGCATGAAGCGGTCAATGCTTCACCTCATCAGTGCTATGGACTGCGTAAAGGGCATCTGAGGACATTATCGCATTGTATTAAAAAAAGTAGAGTGGGCGTAAATTGGACCGCAGATCTATTGTGTCCACTTGACGTAATGTGCATACAAATCAAGAACGCGGATGATTGTAAGATGCACATGCAAGAGATAAGGGTTATACAAAGGCGCGTTTTCGTCAGCTCAGGCCTTTAAGACAGTCCCAAGAGGTGTGAGTGCTCAGTATTTGCAATGTTCTAGAAACATCTTCGCCATGCAAAAACGGTTCCAGGTGCAATGAGATACATGGCCAAGGTCATGGAAGGCGTTTGATTAACCTCAGATAACCCTTCATCACCTCTTGACAGTGAGGGACGGCCAGGTCTAAGGCGGACCATGCCTAATCTTCGGACGGATGGAAAGCTACGCAATGACGGCAAAGGCGCAATTCGACCTGTTCGACCCGACCTGGGACGACAACGATACAAAACAACTTTAACATAGCTCATATCGGTTGCGTTTAGCACAGTGGTTGCGCGTTTCACGGTGCTGCTAACTCCACCCCACCTCACCCCACTCCCCAGCCCCTTACTTTACCCTCCACCGAATTTGGTGAAACCGAAAAAGCTGACGAGGTAGCCTTTGACTGCGACCCGGCCGCTGAGGCCGGTGGCGAGGCATTGGAGATGCCATGCACTTCCTCATTAGCTCTGGTCTAGACCAAGGACCAAGTACCAGTAAAGCAGCATGCACGATCGCAAGTGCAGAGCGTGCACTTTACCTTTAGATTTAACTGCAGACGCGTTTCTGACGAGCATGCCGCAACGACTGGTTAATGCTGCGCCTGACATCATTCCAGGCAATACGAATCCTGCTTACCTTGCACTTGCTGAACACCAACATATGACGGACGTGAACCAGAATTGTGGATACGCTTCAGTAATTCTAGCAAATCGCCCAACTGAGATGAACCCCGCTGTACTTAAACATATTGCTTAGACTCAACCGATACGATCCTGTTTTATTTGCGAAGCTGGTCGCGAAGTTGGCCCCAGAATATTCGTTTTTCTACCTAATCACAGAAGCTAGAACCAGACACCAGGCCCTAGCGTCGTCCGGTCGGTTGCGTGACCATCGCACGTGTCCTCACCGAGGGCGAACCCGTCCTTGGCCCACTGCAGCTGGCCGACCTGATGGTGCACCTCGCAGCGCAAGATGGCGCTGTCTCCCTCCACCACGCTGACGTTGGACGGTCGCACCCGGAATCGCTGCTGCTGGCACAACACTGAAAAAGGAGGCATAATGACAGCAGCGTTCGATGCATTTGGTACAAGTATCCCAAGGCTTCCTGACAGGAGCAGTGGTTTGGTGCATACAGCAAGCAACACAGAAAAGGTCATCATTCGGTGTGGGTTGGTTATCTTTTTAACATAACCCTAGATAAGTTGCTATATTTGCTCGATAAGCTCAAACGTACCTCAATACGTTGCTATGTTTGCTCATCTGATTCTGGTAAAATTCGTTTGTCGTTTTGAATGACGAAGGGCGCCGAGTTACGCGCCATTAACATCCGTGGTTGGAGTGGGTTCGCTGCGCTTCGAGAGTCGCGCTGAAACCGCGCCATGACTTTCAGTGCACTTCGCTCGGAAGTAATTGTCTTCCAGCCCTACCGAGAATGCAACCGTCTGTGCTGAAAAGCTTCAAACAAGGTCTATCTACGCCTGATAAATGACTCAATCTCACTCCGCCTCGTCCATCAACGTTGTAGTCCAATACGTGTCATCGTTGCCAGATAAACTGCATCTATCACATGAACGCACTTAATGCGCTTGAACAAAGAAAGGCGGCCCAAAACACAACCCTGCATACCACACATGAGTACGCCTCACGCCTCAATACCACCAGGCAAATCAAACAACATAATCCCCGCAACGCCGCTCGTGTTCCCTGCCGTCGGCGCGGCCCCGGCCCAAATCTGGGCGTGGGCCGGGGGCGGCGGGGGATCGGGAAGCTGCGCGGCAGGCGGGCCCGGGGCTGCCCACTGCCCTGCGTCAGCGCGGGCAGCTCCTTTGTAGCGCCCATCCGGCCTAATAACTAGGGCGGCGGCGGGCGACCGCGGCCCCACTCTCGGCATGAGTCCCAGGCGAGGCATTCGCAGGCCAAGAGGCGCGCTCGGTCGCCTGCTTATGCACGCACTTCCTGCCCGCCTCATCCCTGTATTCATGCAACGACTGGCCGCGTTGGCTGGTGCGTCGAGAGCAGGTGGCGCCCGCGTAGTGGCCGCGGAGGCCCAGCTGAGTCGCGGCGCTATCTCCGCGGGGCACCTACGCCTGCAGCAGCGCCACCTCTACCGACATCTACGCCTGCAGCAACGCTATCTCCGCGGGCACCTACGCCTGCAGCAGTGCTACCTCCGTTGGCACTTACGCCTGCAGCGCCTCGAAACACATGTCGATCGGTCCCAGCTTGTTAACCGGCCCGGACGCTGACTGCTGCTGGATAACGCTAGGATTCCTGGCGCCGCCGCCGGGAACAAAGGCTCGATGCCGAGGCCGGCGCCGTGCGTCGCAGCTGCGCCAGGCTCGCCGCGGCCGGCGGTGCGGCGGCGGCCGCGCTCCAAATGAGATTTGTCTGGGAGCAGCGCGCGGAGTAGCGCGGGCCCTCATCTGATGGGCGGTGGCGGGATGGTGCGGCCTCTCCCCTGACGAGCGATCCGTGGAGTGGCGCGGCCTCTCCTCTGACGAGCGATCAGCGGAGTGGCGAGGCCTCTCCTCTGACGAGCGATCCGTGGAGTGGCGAGGCCTCTCCTCTGACGAGCGATCCGTGGAGTGGCGCGGCCTCTCCTCTGACCAGCGGTCCGTGGAGTGGCGAGGCCTCTCCTCTGATGAACGGCCCGCGGAGTGGCGTGGCCTCTCCTCTGACGAACGGTTCGTGGAGTGGCGAGGCCTCTCCTCTGACGAGCGGTCCGTGGAGTGGCGAGACCTCTCCTCTGACGAGCGGCGGTGGCGGACAGACACGCCAGCCGCGGACGTCTGACAAGTCGGACCAGCCCAGGCGAAGCCAACTCCTATGCGGTGAGGGCGCTTCTGTCGCACTTACGACGACCGGCCATTAACGGAGTTGTATTTGAGTGTGAGTGTTTTAAGAAAAGGTGGTTGGTTGGTTGGGCAGCAAAGTCCTTAATTTCATAGTATATCTCAACTCGTATCGTCTTTGAAAGGAAATCTAGTCGAATAATGAGTTGAAGAGCTTCTTGCTTGAAGTCGATTCTTGAACGCGCGTAAATTTCGTATGGTTCACTTGATATTGCATTTTGAGTGCATAAGACCACTTCCCTACCGCTTGGAGCCGTGACTTTAACCACTTTGGCTGAAACGCACATGTTGGGTTATGTAGAAAAATATAATCATATCTTCTCTTTTGTATGCGTAACGTTTCCTTACCGCATAAAATAACGCACACACCTTTTTTAAACAACACATTGGTTTTCGCATGGTGACCAGGATACCCACGGAATTAGTGCTCTCCTAATGTCGGGGATCAATCTCCATGTCATGTTGAAATAACGTGGGTAAAACTATGGGACCAAGTAAGCTTCCGCATCCCAAGCTACTGGAGCTTCCTTAGGTGGTTCTACACAACATTTTGCAAGCCCCGTTCACTGCCCTCACAGTATTCACCCAGGCGACTAATGGAAGCCTCGCGATCATTTCCCAGCGTGTTCCGGTCCCGGGCGGCGCCGCGGGCGATGCCTCGCCCTCCCCCCTCCATTTGGCGCCGCGTGCCGGCGAACGCCGGTGATCCGTCCCCCCCGACCGTGGCATCAATCAGACTGGGGCCCCGTGATCCAGGCCGGCAGATGATGCATAGTGACCGGCGGCGCCGCACGCGCCGCCACCTGACCTGCGCCGCTGCAGGCAGCCCGGTCGCCGAATAGCAATTAGCTGGGGCGCAATCAATAGCCGATGAGGGCACCTCGGCCCGGCTCGCGGGATGTCCCGATTACAGCCGGCTGCCAGCGCGTGGTCGCCGGTGACGTCAGCAAACATGGCGGCGCCCATCGGGGCGGAAGCTGGCGGCAGCGCTGCGTGTGAGATTGCCAGCCTACGCTGGAGACGCGGAGAACCTGTGTCGTACCGAACGCCTGACGGCAGCGGCTGAAAAGGTTCTGTGCCTTGGGCAACATGATTTCGCTGGACGTGGATCGTTAATCTGCTAATCGTGGAACCGCTGTACCAGCAACCGGAGTAAGAAGAGGACATACATTTCCAGCGCGCTGAAAGAAATAGATCGTTCTCCACGCCTCTGTCGTTCAGCCTGTAGGTTTGCATATATAGTATTGTGGGGAAACCATTGTCTTAGCAGCTACCCGTCCAGTACGCCATTTTATGGTGCGACTGATTCCTGAGCGGCCGGGAGCCTATCACAAAAGGCACAACTTAACCTAAACAGTTGGCGCGCCGTGTAACCCAAACTGGCAGTAAAATACCCATCAAGGACAAAAACGTTTGCTGGTGTTGTCGGTTAACCAGCTAACGCCCTTTGCCAAGCTATCATGGTCCAAGGTTTACGACATTTAGACGCCGTGCTTTCAAATGTCTGAACATAAAGGGCAGAGATAAGTTTCTCATGCAAATGGGGCTGTCCTGCACCGAGCCTCAATCTTTTATCCGCCACTACCTCAGTTTTGCGGCCGGACCATCTGCCTTACATACAATTCGGGTAAAACCTGTAAAGACATTTGTTTCGCGAAGGGTTCAACAAAAACACACCAAATGCTCGCCCAGCCGCTGAAAGTGCGGACCAAAAACAGCACCCCTGTCGGAGGGCCGCGGCTTCCAGAAGCCGCAAAAGACACGGGAGCTCTCGGGCTTTAATGAGATGCCCACTATCGCGCGCCGTGCAGTAATGAATGGCTTGCAAACACCCGACAGCCGTAAAGCCGGGCGATATATTTCCGGGCGCCGCTGTGATACCGCAGACTGTGGCCGAGCTGGACGCCTCGGCCCCGATAAGGGCGCGTGCCGGCCCGCTGGGAGCGGCGGTGGGCGTGGGCCGTCTGCCGCCGCGCCCGCAGGCGTCCGGCAGGCCCCACCGGGCCAGGCGGTACAACACTCGCGGTCGTTGGGGTCGTGACCTGGCTCTGAGGACGTGTCGCGGGTGGAGACGCGGTGGTCATGTCGTCACGGTGAGCGTGAGTGCTGTGTGTGGACGATTCGGGCAGTCAAGCGTGCGCTGTTAATGGCCCGCGTAAGCCCAGGTGACTCATAGGGTATGTCTTGCTTCAATGACTGAAGAATGCTGTGCAAGTGGACTTCCACATTTTTTAATTTCGTCATCTAGTGCATTTGGTCGACAGCAGAATGTCGTAAGCATACGTGAAAATGCCAGAGATTCTGCCCCCTTCTATCCGTTCGGGCGCTGTCTCGTCATCAATCAATTGATGATTGGTTTCAGGTGTAGATTGCAATATAGCGTCATGAAGCAGTGTGCATGAATATCCAGGTATAGCCCAGGAAGCAATTAACTGGTAGCTCCACGCAAATATTGTTATATATATATATATATATATATATATATGTATATATGCAATGGCAAAGCAAAGTAAAGGCAATGCCTCTTCGCAGCCCGGCCAAGCTAATATGCGGGTTCCACTAAGTTTCGTGTTTCAACCATACCGGGCCGCGAACATGGTGCTTAAGCAGGTGTTTAAGCCTGGAGCAGTTCGACGCACCGATTTTTTTGGTGCCACTGGCATCTGGCTCCATTAAACAACAGGTGCGTTCTTTCTCCACTGCACTGTAATGTAACTACCTGTTACGGAGTTCGCCCTTGTCCTAAGGTCATGGAAGTAAACGTCTCGGAAGGGTAGAGTTGACTGACTCGTGCTGCGCCGTTATAAAACCATGAATGTATGATCCATGAATGTATGATCCATGAAGGTATGATCCATGAATGTATGATCCATGAACGTATGATCCATGAATGTATGATCCATGAATGTATGATCCATGAATGTAAATGCGTCATCACACACACACACACACACACACACACACACACACACACACACACACACACACACACACACACACACACACACACACACACACACACACACACACACACACACACACACACACACACACACACACACACACACACACACACACACACACGCACGCACGCACGCACGCACGCACGCACGCACGCACACACACACACACACACACACACACACACACACACACACACACACACACACACACACACACACACCACACC